TACCTACTCACTTTGTTAAAAGAGATTTGTTACCTACTCACTTTGTTAAAAGAGATTTGTTACCTACTCACTTTGTTAAAAGAGATTTGTTACCTGTTCACTTTGTTAAAAGAGATTTGTTACCTGTTCACTTTGTTAAAAGAGATTTGTTACCTACTCACTTTGTTAAAAGAGATTTGTTACCTACTCACTTTGTTAAAAGAGATTTATTACACTTTGTTAAAAGAGATTTGTTACCTGTTCACTTTGTTAAAAGAGATTTGTTACCTACTCACTTTGTTAAAAGAGATTTGTTACCTACTCACTTTGTTAAAAGAGATTTGTTACCTGTTCACTTTGTTAAAAGAGATTTGTTACCTGTTCACTTTGTTAAAAGAGATTTGTTACCTACTCACTTTGTTAAAAGAGATTTGTTACCTACTCACTTTGTTAAAAGAGATTTGTTACCTACTCACTTTGTTAAAAGAGATTTGTTACCTGTTCACTTAATCTGTTAAAAGAGATTTGTTACCTACTCACTTTGTTAAAAGAGATTTGTTACCTGTTCACTTTGTTAAAAGAGATTTGTTACCTACTCACTTTGTTAAAAGAGATTTGTTACCTGTTCACTTTGTTAAAAGAGATTTGTTACCTGTTCACTTTGTTAAAAGAGATTTGTTACCTGTTCACTTTGTTAAAAGAGATTTGTTACCTGTTCACTTTGTTAAAAGAGATTTGTTACCTGTTCACTTTGTTAAAAGAGATTTGTTACCTGTTCACTTTGTTAAAAGAGATTTGTTACCTGTTCACTTTGTTAAAAGAGATTTGTTACCTACTCACTTTGTTAAAAGAGATTTGTTACCTACTCACTTTGTTAAAAGAGATTTGTTACCTACTCACTTTGTTAAAAGAGATTTGTTACCTACTCACTTTGTTAAAAGAGATTTGTTACCTGTTCACTTTGTTAAAAGAGATTTGTTACCTACTCACTTTGTTAAAAGAGATTTGTTACCTGTTCACTTTGTTAAAAGAGATTTGTTACCTGTTCACTTTGTTAAAAGAGATTTGTTACCTGTTCACTTTGTTAAAAGAGATTTGTTACCTGTTCACTTTGTTAAAAGAGATTTGTTACCTGTTCACTTTGTTAAAAGAGATTTGTTACCTGTTCACTTTGTTAAAAGAGATTTGTTACCTGTTCACTTTGTTAAAAGAGATTTGTTACCTACTCACTTTGTTAAAAGAGATTTGTTACCTACTCACTTTGTTAAAAGAGATTTGTTACCTACTCACTTTGTTAAAAGAGATTTGTTACCTGTTCACTTTGTTAAAAGAGATTTGTTACCTGTTCACTTTGTTAAAAGAGATTTGTTACCTACTCACTTTGTTAAAAGAGATTTGTTACCTACTCACTTTGTTAAAAGAGATTTGTTACTTGTTCACTTTGTTAAAAGAGATTTGTTACCTGTTCACTTTGTTAAAAGAGATTTGTTACCTACTCACTTTGTTAAAAGAGATTTGTTACCTACTCACTTTGTTAAAAGAGATTTGTTACCTACTCACTTTGTTAAAAGAGATTTGTTACCTGTTCACTTAATCTGTTAAAAGAGATTTGTTACCTGTTCACTTTGTTAAAAGAGATTTGTTACCTACTCACTTTGTTAAAAGAGATTTGTTACCTGTTCACTTTGTTAAAAGAGATTTGTTACCTACTCACTTTGTTAAAAGAGATTTGTTACCTGTTCACTTTGTTAAAAGAGATTTGTTACCTGTTCACTTTGTTAAAAGAGATTTGTTACCTGTTCACTTTGTTAAAAGAGATTTGTTACCTGTTCACTTTGTTAAAAGAGATTTGTTACCTGTTCACTTAATCTGTTAAAAGAGATTTGTTACCTGTTCACTTTGTTAAAAGAGATTTGTTACCTGTTCACTTTGTTAAAAGAGATTTGTTACCTGTTCACTTTGTTAAAAGAGATTTGTTACCTGTTCACTTTGTTAAAAGAGATTTGTTACCTGTTCACTTTGTTAAAAGAGATTTGTTACCTGTTCACTTTGTTAAAAGAGATTTGTTACCTGTTCACTTTGTTAAAAGAGATTTGTTACCTGTTCACTTTGTTAAAAGAGATTTGTTACCTGTTCACTTTGTTAAAAGAGATTTGTTACCTACTCACTTTGTTAAAAGAGATTTGTTACCTGTTCACTTTGTTAAAAGAGATTTGTTACCTGTTCACTTTGTTAAAAGAGATTTGTTACCTACTCACTTTGTTAAAAGAGATTTGTTACCTGTTCACTTTGTTAAAAGAGATTTGTTACCTACTCACTTTGTTAAAAGAGATTTGTTACCTACTCACTTTGTTAAAAGAGATTTGTTACCTGTTCACTTTGTTAAAAGAGATTTGTTACCTGTTCACTTTGTTAAAAGAGATTTGTTACCTGTTCACTTTGTTAAAGTTCACTTTGTTAAAAGAGATTTGTTACCTACTCACTTTGTTAAAAGAGATTTGTTACCTACTCACTTTGTTAAAAGAGATTTGTTACCTGTTCACTTTGTTAAAAGAGATTTGTTACCTACTCACTTTGTTAAAAGAGATTTGTTACCTACTCACTTTGTTAAAAGAGATTTGTTACCTACTCACTTTGTTAAAAGAGATTTGTTACCTACTCACTTTGTTAAAAGAGATTTGTTACCTGTTCACTTTGTTAAAAGAGATTTGTTACCTACTCACTTTGTTAAAAGAGATTTGTTACCTACTCACTTTGTTAAAAGAGATTTGTTACCTGTTCACTTTGTTAAAAGAGATTTGTTACCTGTTCACTTTGTTAAAAGAGATTTTTTACCTGTTCACTTTGTTAAAGTTCACTTTGTTAAAAGAGATTTGTTACCTACTCACTTTGTTAAAAGAGATTTGTTACCTACTCACTTTGTTAAAAGAGATTTGTTACCTGTTCACTTTGTTAAAAGAGATTTGTTACCTGTTCACTTTGTTAAAAGAGATTTGTTACCTACTCACTTTGTTAAAAGAGATTTGTTACCTACTCACTTTGTTAAAAGAGATTTGTTACCTGTTCACTTTGTTAAAAGAGATTTGTTACCTACTCACTTTGTTAAAAGAGATTTGTTACCTACTCACTTTGTTAAAAGAGATTTGTTACCTACTCACTTTGTTAAAAGAGATTTGTTACCTACTCACTTTGTTAAAAGAGATTTGTTACCTACTCACTTTGTTAAAAGAGATTTGTTACCTGTTCACTTTGTTAAAAGAGATTTGTTACCTGTTCACTTTGTTAAAAGAGATTTGTTACCTACTCACTTTGTTAAAAGAGATTTGTTACCTACTCACTTTGTTAAAAGAGATTTATTACACTTTGTTAAAAGAGATTTGTTACCTGTTCACTTTGTTAAAAGAGATTTGTTACCTACTCACTTTGTTAAAAGAGATTTGTTACCTACTCACTTTGTTAAAAGAGATTTGTTACCTGTTCACTTTGTTAAAAGAGATTTGTTACCTGTTCACTTTGTTAAAAGAGATTTGTTACCTACTCACTTTGTTAAAAGAGATTTGTTACCTACTCACTTTGTTAAAAGAGATTTGTTACCTACTCACTTTGTTAAAAGAGATTTGTTACCTGTTCATTTAATCTGTTAAAAGAGATTTGTTACCTACTCACTTTGTTAAAAGAGATTTGTTACCTGTTCACTTTGTTAAAAGAGATTTGTTACCTACTCACTTTGTTAAAAGAGATTTGTTACCTGTTCACTTTGTTAAAAGAGATTTGTTACCTGTTCACTTTGTTAAAAGAGATTTGTTACCTGTTCACTTTGTTAAAAGAGATTTGTTACCTGTTCACTTTGTTAAAAGAGATTTGTTACCTGTTCACTTTGTTAAAAGAGATTTGTTACCTGTTCACTTTGTTAAAAGAGATTTGTTACCTGTTCACTTTGTTAAAAGAGATTTGTTACCTGTTCACTTTGTTAAAAGAGATTTGTTACCTACTCACTTTGTTAAAAGAGATTTGTTACCTACTCACTTTGTTAAAAGAGATTTGTTACCTACTCACTTTGTTAAAAGAGATTTGTTACCTACTCACTTTGTTAAAAGAGATTTGTTACCTGTTCACTTTGTTAAAAGAGATTTGTTACCTACTCACTTTGTTAAAAGAGATTTGTTACCTGTTCACTTTGTTAAAAGAGATTTGTTACCTGTTCACTTTGTTAAAAGAGATTTGTTACCTGTTCACTTTGTTAAAAGAGATTTGTTACCTGTTCACTTTGTTAAAAGAGATTTGTTACCTGTTCACTTTGTTAAAAGAGATTTGTTACCTGTTCACTTTGTTAAAAGAGATTTGTTACCTGTTCACTTTGTTAAAAGAGATTTGTTACCTGTTCACTTTGTTAAAAGAGATTTGTTACCTACTCACTTTGTTAAAAGAGATTTGTTACCTACTCACTTTGTTAAAAGAGATTTGTTACCTACTCACTTTGTTAAAAGAGATTTGTTACCTGTTCACTTTGTTAAAAGAGATTTGTTACCTACTCACTTTGTTAAAAGAGATTTGTTACCTACTCACTTTGTTAAAAGAGATTTGTTACCTACTCACTTTGTTAAAAGAGATTTGTGACCTACTCACTTTGTTAAAAGAGATTTGTTACCTGTTCACTTTGTTAAAAGAGATTTGTTACCTGTTCACTTTGTTCAAAGAGATTTGTTACCTGTTCACTTTGTCTGTTAATAGGGATCACCTAATTGTATCCTGATAAAAAAGTGACTTGGTGACTTGGTGTCTTTTTCTGGTAGCAATACCAGCATCACATATAATTTCTGATGTACATTTTAACGTTGAACAAGCATATATATTATCAAAATGTTATAATATTATGGCAGTCTTCAATATTTATATGACCAATAAAGGCCCAGTATTTGTTTTAGAAAGTAGCCATGCTGTAACAATCAATTTTCACAGATGTAAGTTCATTTCCTTGAAGAAAACTTATAATACCAGGTAAAATGTTTACTTTTTTCCAGGTAACCAGCCTGTTTTATGATGTACCAAAATCCAAGGGGGACGAGTCCTACGAAAAGAATGTACGCATGTTCCATTATCAGATGCAGTTCTATGATCGTGAACTCAGCAAGAGAGGACTGTTTTTCGGAGGTATTTTGTCCATTTTTTAGCCCTGACACTAGCATGTATGCTGTTCAAGTTGATTTTCATCCATGTTTTGTCTACTGTCCTAAGTCATCGGAGATTTCATCCATGTTCTGTCTACTGTCCTAAGTCATCAGAGATTTCATCCATCTTCTGTCTACAGTCCCAAGTCATCAGAGATTTCATCCATGTTCTGTCTACTGTCCTATGTCATCAGAGATTTCATCTATGTTTTGTCTACTGTCCTAAGTCATCAGAGATTTCATCCATGTTTTTTCTGTCCTCTGTCCTTAAATATTCAGAGATTTAACCTGTGGTCTGTCTGTCATCTGTCCTGAAGTAACCAAAGATTTTTCATGTGATCTGTCTGACTTCTATATTCAAATATTCAGAGATTTCACCCGTGGTCTGTCAAGCACTGATCTCACACAAGTGAAAGGAAAATTTAATGAATGTCGTTTACATATGAGTATTTTCAACTCACTATCATATTTTAGAGTGTTGGAATTACCCTGCATCCATGGTCCTTTGTCAATACTTACAGTGTATCTCTCTAGAAGTATTGGACATATCTTCCTCAGATTCCATATGTAGGTTCCTCTTATTCCATAGTTGCGCCCATATGATTTCAGGACCAATCAGATAAAAGAATCTTGAATTCTATAAATATAACTGCTTTTGTCCTATATTAAAAACTGTCATTGTTTGTTGAGAATGTCACTAAAAACTATCACCCTGTCCCCGATTGGTAGTTTATCTATGTATGTTACTAACATATATACAGTTTAACACAGATGTTTACTGTTTTTCATTTAGGTTCACAGCCATGCAATGTGGATTTTATGATATGGCCTTGGTTTGAGCGATTAGGAGTGATGACAGTCGTTTCTCCGGAGTCAGCCATTACTGTTGATAAATATCCTAACCTGGCACCGTGGCAGGACAGAATGTACTCTTTGCCTTGTGTGAAGGACACCTATGTTAAACCAGAAGACCACATACACTTCTTCACAACCTTACGACAGGGAAAACCAGACTATGATTATGGATCATAACACGATCTTACGACAGGGAAAACCAGACTTACGACAGGGAAACCCAGACTGTGATTATGGATCATAACATGATCTTACGACAGGGAAACCCAGACTTACGACAGGGAAACCCAGACTATGATTAAGGATCATAAAACGATCTTACGACAGGGAAACCCAGACTTACGACAGGGAAACCCAGACTATGATTAAGGATCATAAAACGATCTTACGACAGGGAAACCCAGACTGTGATTATGTATCATAACACGATCTTACAACAGGGAAACCCAGACTGTGATTATGTATCATAACACGATCTTACGACAGGGAAACCCAGACTGTGATTATGTATCATAACACGATCTTACGACAGGGAAACCAGACTGTGATTATGTATCATAACACGATCTTACGACAGGGAAACCAGACTGTGATTATGTATCATAACACGATCTTACGACAGGGAAACCCAGACTGTGATTATGTATCATAACACGATCTTACGACAGGGAAACCAGACTATGATTATGGATCATAACACGATCTTACGACAGGGAAACCAGACTGTGATTATGTATCATAACACGATCTTACGACAGGGAAACCAGACTGTGATTATGTATCATAACACGATCTTACGACAGGGAAACCAGACTGTGATTATGTATCATAACACGATCTTATGACAGGGAAACCCAGACTGTGATTATGTATCATAACACAATCTTACGACAGGGAAACCAGACTATGATTATGGATCATAACACGATCTTACGACAGGGAAACCAGACTGTGATTATGTATCATAACACGCTCTTACGACAGGGAAACCAGACTGTGATTATGTATCATAACACGATCTTACGACAGGGAAACCAGACTGTGATTATGTATCATAACACGATCTTACGACAGGGAAACCCAGACTGTGATTATGTATCATAACACAATCTTACGACAGGGAAACCAGACTATGATTATGGATCATAACATGATCTTACGACAGGGAAACCAGACTATGATTATGTATCATAACACGATCTTACGACAGGGAAACCAGACTATGATTATGTATCATAACACGATCTTACGACAGGGAACCCAGACTTACGACAGGGAAAACCAGACTATGATTATGGATCATAACATGATCTTACGACAGGGAAACCAGACTATGATTATGTATCATAACATGATCTTACGACAGGGAAACCAGACTATGATTATGGATCATTTGACCTGAGCTTATATGTTTTAATCAGAAACAATTGCTGATGTAAATTGAACAAAGATTAAGGATTACTGATGGAAATTGAACAAAGATTAAGGATTACTGAATTACTGATGGAAATTCAGTTTAAAAAAATGGAATTGAAAAAACAATTTGATTGCTGCTGGAGAAGATTATCATCACAGACCAGTGGATTATTGTCAGTGTAAAAGAAAAAACAAAGATTTAAGTTCTGCAAGATGTATTGGGATCAAGTATAGGAGTAGAGAACCTTTCCTTGCAACATACCTCGGCTTTATCAATTATACTAAACAATATAGAAGGTTTCAAACTGGATACATTTCACACAAGAAATGTCCATTGAATGATTTCCTTAAGAGTATGGAATTAGGAGACATTTGGAGAAAGTCTTAGATCATTGCTGAAAATACTAAGTAAAGTTATCTTTGTCATGTTTTCATTTCAATAAACAATAGTTTTATATTTTACTGTTGCTTATTAAATGTTGTCTTTATGGCCTAATTCATCCCAGTGTCAACATCAAAGATACAGGGCCTTATAGACTTTAATTAGACCCTGTATCAACGTCAAAGATACAGGGCCTTATAGACTTTAATTAGGCCCTGTATCAACGTCAAAGATACAGGGCCTTATAGACTTTAATTAGACCCTGTATCAACGTCAAAGATACAGGGCCTTATAGACTTTAATTAGGCCCTGTATCAACGTCAAAGATACAGGGCCTTATAGACTTTAATTAGGCCCTGTATCAACGTCAAAGATACAGGGCCTTATAGACTTTAATTAGGCCCTGTATCAACATCAAAGATACAGGGCCTTATAGACTTTAATTAGGCCCTGTATCAACATCAAAGATACAGGGCCTTATAGACTTTAATTAGGCCCTGTATCAACATCAAAGATACAGGGCCTTATAGACTTTAATTAGGCCCTGTATCAACATCAAAGATACAGGCTTTATAGACTTTAATTAGGCATCAACATCAAAGATACAGGGCCTTATAGACTTTAATTAGGCCCTGTATCAACATCAAAGATACAGGGCCTTATAGACTTTAATTAGGCCCTGTATCAACATCAAAGATACAGGGCCTTATAGTTTTAGGCCCTGTATCAACATCAAAGATACAGGCTTTATAGACTTTAATTAGGCCCTGTAGATACAGTTGCCTTATAGACTTTAATTAGGCCCTGTATCAACATCAAAGATACAGGGCCTTATAGACTTTAATTAGGCCCTGTATCAACATCAAAGATACAGGGCGTTATAGAGTTTAATAATGCGCTGTATCAACATCAAAGATACAGGGCCGTATAGACTTTAATTAGGCCCTGTATCAACATCAAAGATACAGGCTTTATAGACTTTAATTAGACCCTGTATCAACATCAAAGATACAGGCTTTATAGACTTTAATTAGACCCTGTATCAACATCAAAGATACAGGCTTTATAGACTTTAATTAGGCCCTGTATCAACATCAAAGATACAGGCTTTATAGACTTTAATCAGGCCCTGTATCAACAACAAAGATACAGGCTTTATAGACTTTAATTAGGCCCTGTATCAACATCAAAGATACAGGCTTTATAGACTTTAATTAGACCCTGTATCAACATCAAAGATACAGGCTTTATAGACTTTAATTAGGCCCTGTGTCAACATCAAAGATACAGGCTTTATAGACTTTAATTAGGCCCTGTATCAACATCAAAGATACAGGCTTTATAGACTTTAATTAGGCCCTGTATCAACATCAAAGATACAGGCTTTATAGACTTTAATTAGGCCCTGTATCAACATCAAAGATACAGGCTTTATAGACTTTAATTAGGCCCTGTGTCAACATCAAAGATACAGGCTTTATAGACTTTAATTAGGCCCTGTATCAACATCAAAGATACAGGGCCTTATAGACTTTAATTAGGCCCTGTATCAACATCAAAGATACAGGCTTTATAGACTTTAATTAGACCCTGTGTCAACATCAAAGATACAGGCTTTATAGACTTTAATTAGGCCCTGTATCAACATCAAAGATACAGGCTTTATAGACTTTAATTAGGCCCTGTATCAACATCAAAGATACAGGCTTTATAGACTTTAATTAGGCCCTGTATCAACATCAAAGATACAGGCCTTATAGACTTTAATTAGGCCCTGTATCAACATCAAAGATACAGGCTTTATAGACTTTAATTAGGCCCTGTATCAACATCAAAGATACAGGCTTTATAGACTTTAATTAGGCCCTGTATCAACATCAAAGATACAGGCTTTATAGACTTTAATTAGGCCCTGTATCAACATCAAAGATACAGGCTTTATAGACTTTAATTAGGCCCTGTATCAACATCAAAGATACAGGGCCTTATAGACTTTAATTAGGCCCTGTATCAACATCAAAGATACAGGCTTTATAGACTTTAATTAGACCCTGTATCAACATCAAAGATACAGGCTTTATAGACTTTAATTAGACCCTGTATCAACATCAAAGATACAGGCTTTATAGACTTTAATTAGGCCCTGTATCAACATCAAAGATACAGGCTTTATAGACTTTAATCAGGCCCTGTATCAACAACAAAGATACAGGCTTTATAGACTTTAATTAGGCCCTGTATCAACATCAAAGATACAGGCTTTATAGACTTTAATTAGACCCTGTATCAACATCAAAGATACAGGCTTTATAGACTTTAATTAGGCCCTGTGTCAACATCAAAGATACAGGCTTTATAGACTTTAATTAGGCCCTGTATCAACATCAAAGATACAGGCTTTATAGACTTTAATTAGGCCCTGTATCAACATCAAAGATACAGGCTTTATAGACTTTAATTAGGCCCTGTATCAACATCAAAGATACAGGCTTTATAGACTTTAATTAGACCCTGTATCAACATCAAAGATACAGGCTTTATAGACTTTAATTAGGCCCTGTGTCAACATCAAAGATACAGGCTTTATAGACTTTAATTAGGCCCTGTATCAACATCAAAGATACAGGGCCTTATAGACTTTAATTAGGCCCTGTATCAACATCAAAGATACAGGCTTTATAGACTTTAATTAGACCCTGTGTCAACATCAAAGATACAGGCTTTATAGACTTTAATTAGGCCCTGTATCAACATCAAAGATACAGGCTTTATAGACTTTAATTAGGCCCTGTATCAACATCAAAGATACAGGCTTTATAGACTTTAATTAGGCCCTGTATCAACATCAAAGATACAGGCCTTATAGACTTTAATTAGGCCCTGTATCAACATCAAAGATACAGGCTTTATAGACTTTAATTAGGCCCTGTATCAACAACAAAGATACAGGGCCTTATAGACTTTAATTAGGCCCTGTATCAACATCAAAGATACAGGGCCTTATAGACTTTAATTAGGCCCTGTATCAACATCAAAGATACAGGGCCTTATAGACTTTAATTAGGCCCTGTATCAACATCAAAGATACAGGCTTTATAGACTTTAATTAGGCCCTGTATTAACATCAAAGATACAGGCTTTATAGACTTTAATTAGGCCCTGTATCAACATCAAAGATACAGGCTTTATAGACTTTAATTAGACCCTGTGTCAACATCAAAGATACAGGCTTTATAGACTTTAATTAGGCCCTGTATCAACATCAAAGATACAGGCTTTATAGACTTTAATTAGGCCCTGTATCAACATCAAAGATACAGGGCCTTATAGACTTTAATTAGACCCTGTATCAACATCAAAGATATAGGCCTTATAGACTTTAATTAGGCCCTGTATCAACATCAAAGATACAGGGCCTTATAGACTTTAATTAGGCCCTGTATCAACAACAAAGATACAAGGCCTTATAGACTTTAATTAGGCCCTGTATCAACAACAAAGATACTGGGCCTTTTAGACTTTAATTAGGCCCTGTATCAACAACATAGATACAGGTACCTTATAGACTTTAATTAGGCCCTGTATCAACAACAAAGATACTGGGCCTTTTAGACTTTAATTAGGCCCTGTATCAACAAAATAGATACAGGTACCTTATAGACTTTAATTAGGCCCTGTATCAAGAACAAAGATACTGGGCCTTTTAGACTTTAATTAGGCCCTGTATCAACATCAAAGATACAGGGCCCTATAGACTTTAATTAGGCCCCTTATTAACATCAAAGATATTGGGTCTTTTTATCTTTTAGCCAAACAATAGTCTTCTGCAGGACATCTTTGTTCCCTTGTATTATTCTCATTGCTTTTATTATTCCTGATAAGCATTATCCTGTGTTGCATGAGTGTTGTCTAATGTTGCCTGAGTGTTGTCTGTTTCCTGATCATTGTCTAATGTTGCCTGGGTGTTGTCTAATGTTTCCCGAGTGTTGTCTGTTTCCTGAGTGTTGTCTTATGTTTCACGAGTGATGTCTAATGTTGTATGAGCGTTGTCTAATGTTGTCTTAATGTTGTTTAAAGTTGTCAGAATGTTGTCTGTTTCCTGAGTGTTGTTTAATGTTTTCCGAGTGTTGTCCAATGTTTCCCGAGTGTTGTCTGCTTCCTAAGAGTTGTCTAATGTTTCCAGAGTGTTGTCTAATGATTCCCGAGTGTTGTCTAATGTTTTCTGAGTGTTGTCTAATGCCGTCTGAGTGTTGTCGATGTTGTCTGAATGTTGTCTTATGTTGCTTGAGTGTTGTCTAATGTTTCCAGAGTGCTGGTTGATGCTTCCTGAGTGTTGTCTAATGTTTCCCGAGTGTTGTCTGTTTCTTGAGTGTTGTCTAATGTTTCCAGAGTGTTGTCTAATGTTTCCCAAGTGTTGTCTAATGTTTTCTGAGTGTTGTCTAATGCCGTCTGAGTGTTGTCGATGTTGTCTGAATGTTGTCTTATGTTGCTTGAGTGTTGTCTAATGTTTCCAGAGTGCTGGTTGATGCTTCCTGAGTGTTGTCTGTTTCCTGAGTGTTGTCTAATGTTTCCCGAGTGTTGTCTGTTTCCCGAGTGTTGTCTGTTTCCCGAGTGTTGTCTAATGTTTTCTGAGTGTTGTCTAATGCCGTCTGAGTGTTGTCGATATTATCTGAATGTTGTCTTATGTTGCTTGAGTGTTGTCTAATGTTTCCAGAGTGGTGGTTGATGCTTCCTGAGTGTTGTCTGTTTCCTGAGTATTGTCTAATGTTGTCTGGGTGTTGTTTGATGTTTCCTGAGTGTTGTCTAATGTTTTCTGAGTGTTGTCTAATGTTGTCTGGGTGTTGTCTGATGTTTCCTGAGTGTTGTCTAATGTTTCCCGAGTGTTGTCTGTTTCCTGAGTATTGTCTAATGTTGCCTGGGTGTTGTCTGATGTTTCCTGAGTGTTGTCTAATGTTTCCCGAGTGTTGTCTGTTTCCTGAGTATTGTCTAATGTTGCTTGAATGTTGTCTAATGCTTCCTGAGTGTTGTCTAATGTTGTCTGAGTGTTGTTTAATGTTCATGAGTATTGTTTAATGCACTGATCGCCCGGAAATGTCGACCGGGCAGGTTTATAACTCTATTTACTTGTATTGTGTACGTTCCAGATACAAGTCATCTACGCACATGCCTAACTGGGCACTGATCAAGCATAGGACCGACTTCCGGACAACTACGACAACCAGACACTTATTTAGTAACCGCCTACATGTACACCTTGTGAAAGACTTATGCAGTCTTTCTCAAAGATTCCTTCAGTCTCTTAATATCTGTTAAAATAATGTACTACATGTTCTTGATTCATAAAAGACGACTGTTTCCTTAGATACAAAAGTCCCTACCATTCCTGGATCATGTAAATAAATCAGGTTAGTCTATTTTCTTATTACGTCACATCTTTTTCGAGTCTTCCAATCCTACTCTAAAACCACACTAACGTTCAGCTTCTTACAACGCATTGTTATTATAGTAATACTGGTGAGTCTGTCATTGTATCTGAAGACATGTGAACTTGTCAGATTATAAGTAATTGTATGTGTGTGCGTACGCGCGAGTGTGAGAGAGACGGTTTTAATCGTGCTGTAACTATCATAAATGCGGGCAGGTAATCCTCCCGACCATGTATGTATGTATGCGTGTGTGTGTGCGTGTTTTCATGTCACAACCCAGGTTTGCCAGGAAAAGCACAATTGGTTGGCGACGTGTTGAAATCCTGCTTTTGTATTCTATAGAGACCACAGGAAAAAATCTTAAACGCGGTGTTTCAATCCATTTATTTCAAAATACACTACTTTAAGAATCCTGACGAAATCAGACAGCAAAGTTATGTCGGGTATTACATTTTGTAAATTGTGACAATCAAATTCGGTTTCCGTACTCGTTCAACTAATTGCTTTTAATTAATTTTAGATAATAACATTGAGTATCGTGAGAAAGGTAACGTATATTGAACGTATGTAAATGGGAGTGTCTTTGTTTCAAAATGGAACATTTAAACTTCACCATGTCCAAATTTTACCACATATTTAAATGAGTTATTTAAGCATGCAAATTAGATTTTACCCGATATTTCCGGTCTACGCTAGATCAGATACTACATATCATAAAAAAGGTAATTAACAAAGACTAGAAAGGTTAGTTTTTAATTTGCGAGTGATTGGAACATAAATAACTGCAGATTTACTTATTACCTTTTCATTTTCTATTTAACATTTTTTTCATTATTATTGAATAATTGTGTGTGTGCGCGTGTGTGTGCGCGTCTGTGCGTGTGTGTATGTGTGTGTGCGTGTGTGTGTGTGTGTGTGTGTGTGAGAGAGAGATAGTTTGCTGTAACTATCGTCAATGCGGGCAGGTATTCATTCAATGATTACTTTACTCAATGATATAAACATTTTGACAGATTTTGATACTAAATATTCGTGTTCATTTAATCCTTGTACTCCTGTGTTATCTGGAGTTGATGACGGAATGTTCCTAATATGTTTGACGGTGTCCGTTCTTCTTGAAGACGCTGGATTTCTTGACGTCGTCTCTGTGAAATTTGTGCCATCCTTGCAACTTCTTCATCATCACTGGAATCTCTGTATAAATAAACAACAACATCATTCTGAACCTTTGGGGATTGTGTATCATGAAAGGTATCTGTTTTAAGGTAATTTGATTAAAACACACAGGCTTCTGCCCAATTTATCATTAACAATTTTATCAGATTTCACGGAAAGGTTTGTCACAAATTTAACAAAAGGACGACTCAGAATGGACTAAGGTTGGTTAATGAACATAATTATAATGGTAAACAAGTGGGCTACCCTTATTCTGTGGTCTCTCAAGCCATTGTGCATAACAAATTAGTTTTTTGTCCTGACGATCAGTCCCCGCCATTGAAACATTTTTAAAAAAAACATTTCCATCCTCAGCTAATATTTTCAGAATCGTTGAAATCTTCTGGCCTGAATTTTCCCTTTAGCCTCGTTTCGGAATGAACCATGCTACCAAATTTAACATATCCATTTACCTCCCCGAAAAATGCAATTCCTGCCGAGACCTATCGGGTGACGTCATTTTGTTATAAGGTTACCATAGTGATATTATATGTAGTCCTATGATGGTGGGCGTGTTACATGACAGAGTGGACCAGGTATGTGATAATTTGACCACAGTAAGGTACGTCAAGCGGACAATGAACACTCCACCATGGCAATGCTCGTTCGGATGGAATGATTTTGGAAATACCTTTCTTCACTGAAGTCTGAGAGGTCTCCATAATCAACAGGGTTCATACACACAGTACACATGTTGTTGAGGTCGGAGAAACAGAGAGTGCAGTATAAACCTTGTTAAAAGTAAAAGAAGATGTGAATCAGGCAAGTAACTTCTCAAGCGAACAGTGATAACTAAGAGGAACAAAAGCAATATGTGCTCGGATGTGCCCTCTGAACACAAACACAAACAATGATATACATAGGGATGCTTCAGACTAGTTTTATATAATACTATATGGTTATTGTTGAGCACGATTACATCTGACCAACAAGTTGTCTTACCGTCACACCCGGCATTCACACAGTGGATAAAGTTGTCATAATCTCTTTTCCTTCCTTCCTTGCCACAACACAAACACGACTTCATGTCCCATCCTAGATGTCGGAATAACTTCCCAGCCAACGGATATCTGATTAAACAACAATTAACAACAGTTTAGAAAGGAAGACAATTTTAAAGATATGATGAAGAACATAATATAAAAAAAAGTTTAAACTAACCCACCAGTAGAACACTGAACATTACTTACTTTAACCCGACAAATTTGACGACACATTGTTTACGAGTAAGGTGTGAAATTACATGACGTCTGAATTACATACATTTGGTCTGTAATTAATAACAGGTCTGTTATACTAGGTTTTCTTAAGTTTACAGAGATGGCTGGACATCTTTATAAATGTCACAAATTGCTGAAATTTCCGATCATTTATTAATGAAGTAAACCTTTCTACTTTGGTCTTCATGTTCACTACGTTAGAGATACCGATTACTCAGAATATTCCTGAATGAAACGTCTAACAATAAACCTTAAAGGATCCTCACAAAGGGACTTTACAAACAGTATTTAAAAACTAATATTTTGCTGTCGATAACAAATATTATTTAAACTCGGAATAAAATCAATTCATCGCATTGAATAGTGACGTCACGTATATTTCGATAGCGGATAGGTTAGCGATATGGAAGACAATCAGTTTGAGTATTGACACACGTCAGGGCGGGGTCTGCATGGTGTCAGACTTCAAACCTGCATATTACACTGATAATACATTTCTTTCTTAGCTCAGTAATTTACCTGTGAAATATACACATTTTAGGTTTGATTTTTAGCATTGACTGACCTTCATTATTAAGTTTCACTATGCTTCATTATGATATCACAAAATATTCACTGGAAAAATAATCGAAATTTGACTTAACTTTTTCCCTAAAATATCTAAATTATTTCCATTTTGAACGTTAACCTGATGGTTTTGATTTGTGGTAGGTTGACTTTTCATTTGATTTCAGTCGATTTTACTTCATTATGTGAGATCAAAGTATCTTGACCTTTGACCTCATGACACTGACCTGTGAGTAGAGGTATTGCTACGTATTCCTATTTGTGTATTTGTAGTGACCTTGACATTTGGCGTCTAAACATGAAAGGCGATTGAGAGCTTACACATTCTGTGTAAGAGTTAAGGATTAAGTTTGCGTTAACATCGAAACCGATTTTTCTATTTAAAGTATCAGTGACCTTAACCTTTGACATCAGGACTTACAAATTACTCTTGGGTATGTACGAAAAAGCATTTTGTAAAGCTTCATTTGTTGAGCAGAACTTGAGACATTGTGCCGAAACAAAACGCGACCTGATTACTATTCCTCAGTACAACAAAGTTTCGATATATTTATTCAGCAGTAAATGTAACACATAAAAACCAAGATAATATCTTCACATAAGGTGACCATGTAAGTTATATTGACTTAGACTAAGATGTACAAAATCTGCAATTTACCTTGGTATCTAGCAGATTTAAACGAACAAATTTTTCATTTTTTTTGCCAACATCTTGAAGTGATGTATATCTGACTGTCATATTCTCTTCTATTTCTAGAAGTACATACTGATTAACTGAAATAGTCTCACGCGATTTACAAATAAAAAGCTTATGAAAAAAGGAACAGGTAGGAAATACATATCAAACAGATGTTTTAAAACGGAATTAATTTGCTATCAGCAGACCTGGAGAGCGTGTGATCGTGAAGGTTGTTGATATCAAATAGAGGTAATGGAATTGATTATACTGTCAAACAATACCATTACTATAGACATATACTACAAATTTCCGCGGTTAACCTGGTGTCAAAATTTCAAAAATTCTTAGTCAGAAGAATTGGAATTCGCTCAGCACGTACAAATTGGTTACGAAATAACAATAAAACTTTATGTTCTATAATCTACTGATTTCTGTTAGTGCATGTTTTCATCAACCTCATCAAAAGATTATAAATGTATAACACATTTCCATGTACAAAAAATGAAGCCAAAAATAGGAACATGTCTCTTTAAGTATCTATATAAGTGCCTAGTATATATACTTACTTTGCAGCCAATTTTCCACGGATACTGATCTTCTCTGTCTCGGAGTTTTTAAGGTATTTCCGTTTTAGCTGTCGTCTTGTTATCTTGATGAAGCCGCCCCGTGATTTGAGAATGTGATTGTACAACCATACCGCGCGCTGTTGTTCACGCTGTGGATAGTAACAGGCGGCTATCACGTGCCGCAAACGTAAACCATATGCTTCAAAAAGGGTTAAGAATAGATAAAGTCCAAACATACTCCCTGAAAAAAAACATTGAGACAAATTTTCAAACTGCTTTCAACAGAATCAGTAAATAATAACATTCTCAATACATTACAAATAAGAAAATCTCAAATAATCATCTTATTAAAAGATGGCTAAATGCCGAGTTCAAGTCAGCTGACCTTTAAAAGTTACACATTTTACTGATAAAGCTGTTAAAAGTTTTACTGATAAAGCTGTTAAAAGTTTTAATGATAAAGCTGTTAAAAGTTTTAATGATAAAGCTGTTAAAAATTTCAATGATAAAGCTGTTAAAAGTTTCAATGATAAAGCTGTTAAACGTTTTTAATTAATACCAGATGTGTTTCAGTCATAAGTTAACTCCATTCAAACTTAAGTGAGGCTTTTACAATTTTATTGTAATGGTCACTCCCCAGTTAACATTGGTACTACAGTCTACAAATCCAGTGATCTGAAACCTCCTAGCTGAAGTTACTTGAACAAAACGGTAAATCTAATGCACAAGTAGATAAAACAAAAGTGTTTAATCTCCCTCAAGAATCAATTCCTTCGAATCTATATCTGGTTCGGGTCTACAAACCTTCCTATATGAATCATTGAATTGTTTAAAGCCAACGACGCTCTCATTTTCTGATAATTGTCTTACTTAACTCTTAAGATACACTGACAAAGACTGACTAAAGTCTTCAAAGAAAGTGACCAAGCGCAACAAAGAAAAAAATATCGCCATGTTGACAGAATCTTAATCCAATCTCAAATTCAATTCAATAGAAACAGGGGAAACTGTGAACAAAAGGAAGATCTAGACGGATACTGAAAACAAGGAGAATAAGACCAGGGTTCCGGAAGAGTAAGCGTCTTCTGCTTCATCGACGACACCAGTCACGTAAATCTTGCTCAGTCAAAGTAAGCAATATCACGTTCCCAAATTAGAACAAGGTATACAACAACGACACCAAAGGCAAACTAACGAGTACTAACGAGTACGCTGTAAAAAGTAGAATTTTTCTCGATGACGTCACTGCAACGACCGTTAATCTTCCACATAATTCTCATCAACCTACATCTCTCAACACCCTGTGTTGTTGGTATGTCTGTCAGTTGTCTGCTCGTGATATTTGAAAAAAAATTTAAACACTATAGGATGGGGATCCAGGAATTTTGCAATCCAAAAATGGAAAATGAACAATTGAAATTTACTTATCATACAGTTTGGTGGAAACCTGTCTATGTTGGTTTCATTGTTGGAAAATATTTCTCTATGGGGCCCGCCACTCTTTTAAAATCCAATCATATTTACCGAAGAAGAAAGCTTCAATGGGTTTAATCCATTTTCACTCTCTAAATATATCTCTTTGATCCTGAACATGTGATACTCAACATTTATACAGAATTAAATATCCTCCCCCAAGGATGCTTCTGACCAAATTTGGCCGCGTTATGCCCTGCGGGCCAGGTGAGCTGAAACCACCTTGAAACTACGAAATAACTACAAACTGAGACATGTCCAATATATCTGGTTACTACAAAAGGAAACCATAATAATCTGACAGTGATTGAAGATGCGAATCACACAAAGTCTATGGAAGTACCCGAAATGTCAAAATCCCGGAAACAAAAACTCTTTAACAAAAATGTTGATGATCACCGTTGCTGCAAACACATGCTATGATGAGTCTTTTATCAAGTAAAAAACTACAGTACCATGATAAATAGATGGTCCTTCTAAAACGATAGACAAATTGTTGATCCTCGACTTGGGACCAATAAGATCAATCTGTGTTCCAGAGATAAACGTAAAGAACCATTCTGCAGAGATGTATCAACTTGCTATTGTTTAAACTATAGTATGATATCCTAATTGTTACAGTTATAGTAAACATAGTACTAGAGGTTATAAGCTTACATATTTGTTTATAGATGGCAAAGTTAGGTTGACTAGGGTTAGGTAAACAAGGAGTTGTATCCACATCGATCCCTGCTACAAAGGGGTCAAAAAAGCCGACGAGAGCACGGTACATATCCGCCATAGGCCCTTCCCCCTGGACGTGGATTTTCAGATGGGGAGGAACTGTAAACAAAGTTAGCAGTATCAACAAATACACTCAACTTCATTTTACTTGTTGTTTTAGAATTGTAAACGAGCATTTGGCGAGCTAAAACAAGAAGCATTCACAAGCTGTACCTGTGGTGTATGTTTATTTACCTGTGATGTATGTTTATTTACCTGTGATGTATGTCTATTTACCTGTGATGTATGTCTATTTACCTGTAATGTATCTTTATTTACCTGTGATGTATGTTTATTTACCTGTTATGTATCTTTATTTACCTATGATGTATGTATATCTACCAGTGATGTCTGTTTATTTACCTGTGATGTGTGTTTACCTGTGATGTATGTCTATTTACCCGTGATGTATGTCTATTTACCTGTGATGTATGTCTATTTACCTGTGATGTATGTCTATTTACCTGTGATGTATGTCTATTTATCTGTGATGTATGTTAATTTACCTGTGATGTATGTTTATTTACCTGTGATATGTATTTATTTACCTGTAATGTATGTTTATTTACCTTTAATGTATGTCTATTTACCTGTGAAGTATGTTTATTTACCTGTGCTGTATGTTTATTTACCTGTAATGTATGTTTATTTAACTGTGATGTATGTTTATTTACTGTTATGTTTGTCTATTTACCTGTGATGTATGTTTATTTACCTGTAATGTATGTTTATTTACCTGTGATGTGTGTTTACCTGTGATGTATGTTTATTTACCTGTAATGTATGTTTATTTACCTGTGAAGTATGTTTATTTACCTGTGATGTATGTTTATTTACCTGTGATGTATGTTAATTTACCTGTGATGTATGTCTATTTACCTGTGATGTATGTAAATTTACCTGTGATATGTATTTATTTACCTGTGAAGTATGTTTATTTATCTGTGATGTATGTTAATTTACCTGTGATGTATGTCTATTTACCTGTGATGTATGTAAATTTACCTGTGATATGTATTTATTTACCTGTAATGTATGTTTATTTACCTGTGAAGTATGTTTATTTACCTGTGATGTATGTTTATTTACCAGTGATGTATGTTAATTTACCTATGATGTATGTCTATTTACCTGTGATGTATGTAAATTTACCTGTGATATGTATTTATTTACCTGTGAAGTATGTTTATTTATCTGTGATGTATGTTTATTTACCTGTGATGTATGTTTATTTACCTGTGATGTGTATTTATTTACCTGTGAAGTATGTTTATTTACCTGTGAAGTATGTTTATTTACCTGTGATGTAAGTTTATTTACCTGTGATGTATGTTAATTTACCTGTGATGTATGTCTATTTACCTGTAATGTATCTCTATTTACCTGTGATGTATGTAAATTTACCTGTGATATGTATTTATTTACCTGTAATGTATGTTTATTTACCTGTGAAGTATGTTTATTTACCTGTAATTTATGTTTATTTACCTGTGATGTATGTTTATTTACCTGTGGTGTATGTTTCTTTACCTGTGATGTTTGTCTATTTACCTGTGATGTATGTTTATTTACCTGTGATGTATATCTATTTACCTGTGATCTATGTAAATTTACCTGTGCTGTATGTTTATTTACCTGTAATGTATGTTTATTTAACTGTGATGTATGTTTATTTACCTGTGGTGTATGTTTTTTTTACCTGTAATGTATGTTTATTTACCTGTGGTGTATGTTTATTTAGCTGTAATGTATGTTTATTTACCTGTGATGTACGTTTTTTTTCCTGTGAAGTATGTTTATTTACCTGTGATGTATGTTTATTTACCTGTGGTGTATGTTTATTTACCGGTGAAGTATGTTTATTTACCTGTGATGGATGTTTATTTACCTGTGAAGTATGTTTATTTACCTGTGATGTATGTCTATTTACATGTGATGTATGTTTATTTACCTGTGAAGTATGTTTATTTACCTATGCTGTATGTCTATTTACCTGTGATGTATGTTTATTTACCTGTGATGTATGTTTATTTACCTGTTATGTGTGTTTACCTGTGATGTATGTTTATTTACCTGTGCTGTATATTTATTTACCTGTAATGTATGTTTATTTACCTGTGATGTATGTTTATTTACCTGTGATGTGTGTTTACCTGTGATGTATGTTTATTTACCTGTGATGTGTGTAATGGGTGTTTAAATGTGATGTATGTCTATTTACCTGTGATGTATGTCTATTTACCTGTGATGTGTGTTTACCTGTGATTTATGTCTATTTACCTGTTATGTATGTCTATTTACCTGTTATGTTTGTCTATTTACCTGTGATGTATGTCTATTTACCTGTTATGTATGTTTATTTACCTGTGATGTGTGTTTAACTGTGATGTATGTTTATTTACCTGTGATGTATGTCTATTTACCTGTGATGTATGTTTATTTACCCGTTATGTGTGTTTAACTGTGATGTATGTCTATTTACCTGTGATGTATGTTTATTTACCTGTTATGTGTGTTTAACTGTGATGTATGTTTATTTACCTGTGATGTATGTCTATTTACCTGTGATGTATGTTTATTTACCCGTTATGTGTGTTTAACTGTGATGTATGTCTATTTACCTGTGATGTATGTCTATTTACCTGTGATGTATGTCTATTTACCTGTAATGGGTGTTTAAATGTGATGTATGTCTATTTACCTGTGATGTATGTCTATTTACCTGTGATGTGTGTTTACCTGTGATTTATGTCTATTTACCTGTTATGTATGTCTATTTACCTGTTATGTTTGTCTATTTACCTGTGATGTATGTCTATTTACCTGTTATGTATGTTTATTTACCTGTGATGTTTGTTAATTTACCGTTTTGCTCGGTTATTTACCTGCTGAATGTGTTTTTATCTTCAGTTGTGTACGAAGTAGATCGAGTAGCCAGTAGAGACTGTAGTCACAGACGATATAGAAACTGGAGTACGCAAAGTTGATGATGAGCATCAGAATTCCTTTAGCTAGTTTCGATTTCTCTCGCTTGGCTAGAGATAAAGAGCCTAAGTAAACAAAAACACCAATATACAAACAATATTCTACTTTTTAAGAATTACACACACATAGTACTAGCAAATTTTCTACATCATACAGTTGTTTATGCATTCAAAGACTCGTCAGTGATGTTACATCATACAGTTGTTTCGTCATTCAAAGACTCGTCAGTGATGTTACATCATACAGTTGTTTAGGCATTCAAAGACTCGTCAGTGATGTTACATCATACAGTTGTTTCGTCATTCTAGGACTCGTCAGTGATGTTACATCATACAGTTGTTTCGTCATTCTAGGACTCGTCAGTGATGTTACATCATACAGTTGTTTCGTCATTCTAGGACTCGTCAGTGATGTTACATCATACAGTTGTTTATGCATTCAAAGACTCGTCAGTGATGTTACATCATACAGTTGTTTATGCATTCAAAGACTCGTCAGTGATGCTACATCATACAGTTGTTTAGGCATTCAAAGACTCGTCAGTGATGTTACATCATACAGTTGTTTATGCATTCAAAGACTCGTCAGTGATGTTACATCATACAGTTGTTTCGTCATTCTAGGACTCGTCAGTGATGTTACATCATACAGTTGTTTATGCATTCAAAGACTCGTCAGTGATGTTACATCATACAGTTGTTTATGCATTCAAAGACTCGTCAGTGATGCTACATCATACAGTTGTTTAGGCATTCAAAGACTCGTCAGTGATGTTACATCATACAGTTGTTTATGCATTCAAAGACTCGTCAGTGATGTTACATCATACAGTTGTTTCGTCATTCAAGGACTCGTCAGTGATGTTACATCATACAGTTGTTTAGTCCTTCTAGGACTCGTCAGTGATGTTACATCATACAGTTGTTTAGGCATTCAAAGACTCGTCAGTGGTGTTACATCATGCAGCTGTTTCGTCCTTCTAGGACTCGTCAGTGATGTTACATCATACAGTTGTTTAGTCCTTCTAGGACTCGTCAGTGATGTTACATCATACAGTTGTTTAGGCATTCAAAGACTCGTCAGTGATGTTACATCATACAGTTGTTTAGGCATTCTAGGACTCGTCAGTGATGTTACATCACACAGTTGTTTAGACATTCTAGGACTCGTCAGTGATGTTACATGATACAGTTGTAATTTCCCAGGCTCATCGACCTCTTTACACGTTTCAGTAATTTGACTTGACAGTTTCAGAAGCTAATTTACTAGTGCATACCCATAACAGAAAGTACAAACCTTCCTTCCATTAGCTATTGAACACTTCGAAAAAGATTTGGTTGAACTACAGGTAAGAGCTGTAGATTATGTGAAGCATACACGTACTGTGGTATCATTTTTTATTTCTTTTTATTCATACTTAGTGTGATAAATGTCTGCCTATCTCACTGTCCGTCTGTCTGATGTACTTTGATAGAAAAGTTTAGTTCGATATGATACTGAATTGAATAGAAATACTGACAGGAAAGAAGAGTCAAAGTTGATCAATACATTGATTTGATACATTATTTAGGATACTGCTGACTCACTTGTCTTTATATATTTGTTGGATTCTGACGGCGTCAATGGCTGAATACTTTCACTACCATGCGAACATCTGCGCTCGTCTATACCCTCCACCTTCAGTGTAATGTACACATTGTCGTACTTATCTACCGTCAAATACTTCCTCCGGTATAAAATTGCTCTGAAAATACACAGATTGATATGATATATGATTTGGATGTAACGTTTGTTAGAATATCAAAAACCTTTTAACAGTTTAAGGAGTTATGGAGTAACATGTCTGAGTCCTAGGAGTTATGGAGTCACATGTCTGAGTTCTAGGAGTTATAGAGTCAAATGTCTGAGTTCTAGGAGTTATGGAGTCACATCTCTGAGTTCTAGGAGTTATGGAGTCATATGTCTGAGTTCTTGGAGTTATGGAGTAACATGTCTGGGTCCTAGGAGTTATGGAGTCACATGTCTGAGTTCTAGGAGTTATGGAGTCACATATCTGAGTTCTATGAGTTATGGAGTCATATGTCTCAGTTCTTGGAGTTATGGAGTCACATGTCTGAGTTTAAGGAGTTATGGAGTCACATGTCTGAGTCCTAGGAGTTATGGAGTCACATGTGTGAGTTCTAGGAGCTGTGGAGTCACATGTCTGAGTTCTAGGAGTTATGGAGTCACATGTATGAGTTCTAGGAGGAGTAAAGTCAAATGTTCAAGTTCCAGGACCAACAATAATGGAGCAACATGTCTGATTTCTACAAGTAGTGGAGTTAAATTTGGGAGTTATCATTACCAATATACAGACCACTGACGGTTGAACTGAAACAGTCACCGTTAGTCATGACTCCACTGAATAAGGAAAGTCTGTACATTAAAAATATCTCGTTACCACCATCACTATTACGACTTGAGGATATATTCCCATGAGAGGGACTTCTACTTTGTCCTGATCATTTGAAAAGCCAGATTTTAGGATGTAATTTTAAAGCAAAATAAGACTCCAATATCGTTAGTGGCCACCGCGAAGTAAACAGCATAGCAGCGTCGTCGCATGGAACTCGTAAACCGGCGGATAATTCGAGGAGAGATGTTGTTCCATTCAGCGATCAAGGCTTTGGCCAGCTCCTGCAAGTTTGACGGCTGATTTTGACGTTCTCTCACGCGTCGCCCAAGAACGTCCCAGACATGCTCAATCGGTGACAAATCAAGTGATTTAGATGGCCAATCTAACACCTGTACGTTATTCTGCTGCAAGAAAGTTCTGCTGACGCGACTGGTGTGCGCTGGTGCGTTATCCTGTTGAAAAATGGCACCAACGCCATGGCGTCTTAAGAATGGCAGAACCACACTGGTCTTAAAATTTCATTCCGATATCGAATGCCGGTTAAATTGCCATTTAAAACAACAACAACAAGCCTGGTACGAGTCCCCCCACAAATACCACCCCAAACCATTACACTTCCGCCGCCAAAGCGGTCCCGTTCTGCGACGCAGCAGTTCGCACAACGCTCCCCTCGTCGCCTCCACACTCTGCGCCTTCCGTCACCGTGTTGCAGACAAAACCTAGACTCATCTGAAAACAGAACATTGTTCCATTGTCGTAAGGCCCAACGACGGTGGACTCGGGACCAGTTACGCCGATTATTACGGTGACGTCGCAACAAATTGGGTCCAGTGTAGGGACGCCGCGCTTTCAATTGGTAGGCCCTCAACCTGTTGCGGACTGTTTGGGGAGACACACGACGCCCAAACAATGTCCTTGTAGTCTCTACTGCGGTTACGAATCGATTGCGCAAGTGTATCAATCGTATACGACAGTCATCCTTGGCGGTCGTTTTACGGGGTCGGCCAATTCGGGGACGATCGGATGTTGACCCAGTTTGTTTTAAACGACTTGCCAACTGGTAAATTGTCTTAACACTGCAACCAAAATGCCGTGCAACTCGACGGCAAGACTCCCCAGCCTGGATCATGCCTACAGCCCTTTCTCTCTGTACTTTTGACTGCTGGGTCATAATGATAAAGTTGATAGATAGCAAGATTCGGTGATTTCTAAGTCCTAAGGATCTAAGGAACAGTTGTCAGTTTGAATGTTTATGAAATTCAAGCGAAGATACAAGTTAGTCGCAGAAAACCTCGTGCAGCTCTTTCGCTAATACAGACTTTCACGCTTGAATGATTTTGGTTACCCCTTTGGATATTGTAATGTAAAACATTGCCATTTTCTAATATTGCACAAACGTCATTTTGTTTTCACTCATTTACAGGTATTCGCCAAGGAAACATGTTTACCTTTCTTTTTTTGTTGAGTATATATCTAGCAGTTTAATATGTGATTACATGATGTGGAATCAACATAGACACCACATTGTTTCTTCTTGTTTATCAACGCGAAAATAAATCCTACATTTCACTTTCAGTTAGCCCAAAAGCGAACTTCCTTGTAGCGTCACATAAAGCGCCCCCTCTCAGCTTATAGAAAACAAAGTCCAAGATATTACGTTGAAATTCATTTCATATTACGAGGGCTGATAGATAAGTTATGAGCCGTGTTTTGAAGAAGTTAAGCAGGGATGTCCTTTTTCAGCTCTGCTATTCCCTGACTATTTAAGGCTATGAACCCAAAGACTGGTGTCATTTGGTCAGTTTATGTCGAAAAGGTAACTCTCTAAAGTAAACAAGGCAAGTGACGTTTGCAAAATGGACTATATCGCTGAAAAAGCAGTAATTTAATATTTGCATAATAAAGGTCTAGCACCTAAGTATATCCATACTGATATGGTAATAACACTAGGGAATGATGCCCCTTCATATACTACAGTGAAAAGGTGATTGGCAGAATTTAAGCGTGGTCGGCAGAGCCTTTGGGATGACGACCTTCACAGCCCCAGAAATGTTTAAAAGAGTCAATGATATTGTAATGGCTGACAGGCGAGTTACAGAGAGATATATAGCCAGCACAGTTGGGACTTCATAAGAAAGAACACATTCCATTCTTATGGAAGATCTTGCAATGAAAAAGCTCTCAGCTAATCTGAACCTTTTAGAGGCAGATCCTGCTAACTTTCTGCAGGAGTTTGTGACTATGGATGAAGCATGGGTCCATCATTTCACCCAAGAGACCAAGTAACAGTCTAAACAATTGAAGCACTTTAATTCACCCCCGCCGAAAGGGCAAAGACTGTTCCAGCAACTGGAAGGGCTATGATCTCGGTTTTCTAGGATGCTGATGGCATTCTGATGATAGATTATATAGAAAAGGGATAAACAACCAATGGCACATGCAATTTATCACTTCTGAGACAGTTAAGAAACAATACTAAACTCAAGAGCTGTGGAAAATTCAGTAAAGGTGTGTCGTTCCACCAGGACCATGCCCCTGTTCACAAGTCTGTCATTGCTATGGCTATCATTAACGATTGTGACTTTGAATTGATTGAGAATACAGGCTTGTAACCAAAGTCCGCTACACAGGGCCCTTCCAGTGTAATGCATTCCTGATTAGCAAAACAACAGATTTAGGTGTACAGCTGACTTTGGTAGCAAGTGAAGTTTTACCCACACTTTACCAATGTAAGAAGTAACTGACCTGTAAGTCGTATACTTAGAAGTTTTGATCAAGTGACTGTTCAGTTATGCAAACTGAAAAAACAATTTTATACTCACTTTAGAAGTACGAAGATGAAAGAAAACGACATGGCGCACTGAACTCCACTCATGAGGGCATCGACCTGGCCAATACGTCCTTTAACGTCTGCCAGTATGTCGTCTCGGACTTCTGACAGATTCTTGGACTGTGTCATGTTAAACTTGTACGAGTAATGAATGGAGACGTTGAAGTAAAACATTTCATACACGTTGTCTATCGCCTCCCCCACAGCTGAAATCAACAGGATTATAGAAAATCAGCTTGTGTTTTCAGTGTTGGATTTATATTTATGAAATGTTCAAAATGTAACAAATGAAATAAAATTGCATTTAAAAAGTTATATAATTAATTTTTCGCTGATTGCACGCAAAATGTAGCTTTCTGATTCATCAATGTTTTCTTTTCGTTTCTCGATAACAAAATCTAACTTCGCCAATTTGAAAATGATTTGAGGAGTCAATGGAAACACGCCATCTTGTTGCGGGTGTTAGAACGTCTTTTTTTAATGGAATATCTGTTTATATTCACTATTAACATGTGTGGATCGATGTTAATTAATGATGTAAACAAAGAACGGGCTACGGCATAATAAGAAATACATATCTTACATCGTATACAAACAATAAACAATGAATAAATACACTCCCTGATAGCTGAATAAACTTGAAGATGGAACCGTTTCATTAGATATATATCATATGACAGTCTGAGTAACCAGTAAGAGAACAGTGGGGAAAATGATAATAAAGATAGAAAACGAACTGAAAAATGAAATATTTAGGAGGAAATTTCTGCCGCCTTAAATACTAGCAATACTACTTCAGTAACAGACAACAGTAATGACTGGCGCACGTTATGTATATCGTGTTGTAAAAACACCACAGTCCTGTACACAAGGGCATGATTGGTCTTCTCCGATCATTACAGACACATGAATAGACTAATTCCGTCCATTCTGTATTAATTCATTGTTGACAAGCACCCTCTATAGAAAATAACGGTGTAATTGAAATGAAGAGACCGTAGACATTTTGTACAGAAGGACTGTTCTTTTACTTACGGTCAACTAATTTGTCGATGATCAGATTTTTGATGACGCTTGTAATAGCACACAGCAACTCAGAAACTTCAACACAAATAAAAGAATATATATTCTTTTAATTAAAGCGGAGAACATTTTTACAATAAAATTCATCATCCTACTAACAGTGTATATACACTGTACATACCCAGGAGGAGAGGACGATATCTCACTGAAATATCACATACTTACAGTGTATATACACTGTACATACCCAGGAGGAGAGGACGATATCTCACTGAAATATCACATACTTACAGTGTATATACACTGTACATACCCAGGAGGAGAGGACGATATCTCACTGAAATATCACATACTTACAGTGTATATACACTGTACATACCCAGGAGGACAGGACGATATATCTCACTGAAATATCACATACTTACAGTGTATATACACTGTACATACCCAGGAGGAGAGGACGATATCTCACTGAAATATCACATACTTACAGTGTATATACACTGTACATACCCAGGAGGAGAGGACGGTATCTCACTCTCACTGAAATATCACATACTTACAGTGTATATACACTGTACATACCCAGGAGGACAGGACGATATATCACTGAAATATCACATACTGACAGTGTATATACACTGTACATACCCAGGAGGAGAGGACGATATCTCACTGAAATATCACATACTTACAGTGTATATACACTGTACATACCCAGGAGGAGAGGACGATATATCACTGAAATATCACATACTGACAGTGTATATACACTGTACATACCCAGGAGGAGAGGACGATATCTCACTGAAATATCACATACTGACAGTGTATATACACTGTACATACCCAGGAGGCGGGACGATATCTCACTGAAATATCACATACTGACAGTGTATATACACTGTACATACCCAGGAGGAGAGGACGGTATCTCACTGAAATATCACATACTGACAGTGTATATACACTGTACATACCCAGGAGGAGAGGACAGTATCTCGCTGAAATATCACATACTGACAGTGTATATACACTGTACATACCCAGGAGGAGAGGACGGTATCTCACTGAAATATCACATACTGACAGTGTATATCTACAGTACATACCCAGGAGGAGAGGACGGTATCTCGCTGAAATATCACATACTGACAATGTATATGCACTGTACATACCCAGGAGGAGAGGACGATATCTCACTGAAATATCACATACTGACAGTGTATATGCACTGTACATACCCAGGAGGAGGGGACGATATCTCACTGAAATATCACATACTGACAGTGTATATACACTGTACATACCCAGGAGAAGAGGTCGGTATCTCACTGAAATATCACATACTGACAGTGTATATACACTGTACATACCCAGGAGGAGAGGACGGTATCTCACTGAAATATCACATACTGACAGTGTATATACACTGTACATACCCAGGAGGAGAGGACGATATCTCACTGAAATATCACATACTGACAGTGTATATGCACTGTACATACCCAGGAGGCGGGACGATATCTCACTGAAATATCACATACTGACAGTGTATATACACTGTATATACCAAGGAGGAGAGGACGATATCTCACTGAAATATCACATACTGACAGTGTATATACACTGTACATACCCAGGAGGAGAGGACGGTATCTCACTGAAATATCACATACTGACAGTGTATATACACTGTACATACCCAGGAGGAGGAGGAGACGATATCTCACTGAAATATCACATACTGACAGTGTATATACACTGTATATACCCAGGAGAAGACGATATTTCGCTTAAATCTTTCACATAAAACAGTATAACTATTTACCACTTCTGAACATTGTAAAAACGTACTTCGGACGATGTGACAAACTTGTTTAAAAGCAGTCACAATCCCACATATCCATCCGAAAAACCAACCGAGCATCTCCCTGCAAATGCAATAAAACAGTAAGGACATTGTTAAAAAACAGTAAAGCTGGTCATTGTAGGAAACTGATCATACCGAGCCACTGACCCCGGTATGATCAGCTACTGACCCCGGTATGATCAGCTACTGACCCAGGTATGATCAGCTACTGACCCCGGTATGAACAGCTACTGACCTCGGTATGAACAGCTACTGACCCCGGTATGAACAGCTACTGACTCCGGTATGAACAGCTACTGACCCCGGTATGAACAGCTACTGACCCCGGTATTATCATCTACTGACCCCGGTATGAACAGCTACTGACCCCGGTATGAACAGCTACTGACCCCGGTATGATCAGCCACTGACCCCGGTATGAACAGCTACTGACCCCGGTATGAACAGCTACTGACTCATCATACCGGGGTCAGTAGCTGATCATACCGGGGTCAGTAGCTGATCATACCGGGGTCAGTAGCTGATCATACCGGGGTCAGTAACTCATCATACCGGGGTCAGTAGCTGATCATACCGGGGTCAGTAACTTATCATACCGGGGTCAGTAGCTGTTCATACCGGGGTCAGTGGCTGTTCATACCGGGATCAGTGGCTGATCATACTGGAGTCAGTGGCTGTTCATACCGGGGTCAGTAGCTGATCATTACTGTCGGGTATTCATCGCTGCAACCAACTTTGACGATTTTTGCTTGACAAAATTTTCATTGCGCTTGCGATTACGTTTACCAAGTAAAATGCATGTGGGGGATAAAGTTAACGGAATACGTTATTGCTCGTACAGATTAGAGAGCAATAGATTCGTATAGAGAAATAATTCTAGAAATCTACAATGATTTAATGAGGAGGGAGTGTAGTGGGGAAGTGATTCTCTAAAGACGGAGGGTAGTGGAAATGGGATTCTCTGAGGACAGGGGGTTGGGTGTGGGGGCAGGGCGTTAGTAGAAATGGGATTTTTACAGCAACTAATGATTGCTAGTCAAAAATGGAACAAAACAAAGATAAGTTCCGAACAGGTCGAAAGTCTCCTATCATTAGGAAACTCAGAGTAAGGAAATCACACCGATATTGCAAGTGATATTCGCTGTTAATATCAAATTATCTTTTTTTTTTCAAATGACGCATGTTATACAAAGTTATTGGTAAAGTTCAATCAATTTAATAGGCTATAGATGTATATGACAAGTGTTCTATATAAACGAGATTCATCACTAGAAACAGTGGTTTCTCGTCTTTATATTAGATACCTAATGGATGTAAGTGTTTATCTCTCTGATAGATTACCATTATTACCTGCAGTTATGTTCGGCGGTATTAAAGGCTCCTGTACATTTTCGGTATGGTGCTCCCATCTTCTTGTTACATATGGAAACGATACTCTTCAACCAAGATAACACTCGTCCAATGGAGGCGGCTGTACAAACATAGTTTTATAGTTTTAAACGTCATCATTGATGGAGATTTCAAAGCTCGGCCGGAACACTATTGATAAATTTATTTATTTGTTTATTTACTCTTTTCTTTTCTTGTTGTTTACTTCCAAACAACTGAATGATAAGGTTTTTTTCCAAGCGGTTTGCATTTACCTATTTCTGTCACCGACTTCTTTAGTACCAAAAAGGACTTCCGTAACATTCCAGAGAAATTCTTCAGTGATTTGATCACAATTCGGACGTTCTCAATGACACCTGCATACAAAGAAAAACAAAAACACAAAAACAAAAAAGGTGATAAAAACAAATAAAAACCTACATTGAAGATGATCTTTTATTAAATACTGTTGGACGCACACGTATTCCCGAAATGAATAGTGTTATATAAAATGAAAAGACAATTGCTCATCGAATATTCAAATTGAAGATAATTTGTCAATTATGCATTATGTTTCAGCTATTCTACTGAGCAAGTTTGTACCTGCAATTGGTGCAACAGCGGCGTCCACTAATTCCTTTGTCTGGTTGTGTGCCATCTGCTGACCGCATGTGGAACTGTCGGACATAACCAAGATGTTATGGTTGAAGTTTTTCACCGGATGTGACATCACCAGTATCATAACGTACATTAACAGGAAGTACCGACCTGTACCTAATGGAGACAAAACATATGAAAATTGTAATCAAATTAAGATTAGTAATATTCAAATCACACCTCTTTTGTCATAACTCATACTGCTTACAAATATCAAAACGATAAATAATTAGATTGTATGATCTTACATGTATGCCCCTCAAAACAATGTACAACTATATATATATTTATAACGTAGATTGTCAAAGGGCTGTGTGGTACGGCCTTAAAATGCACAAACAATAAATTTCAGGATAAATATCAAACTTGAGGCTTATTTCACTGTGTGGGTAGTCTGGACTATGAAAGTGTAGTTATTTTTTACGTTCACGTCGTTAATGCTCGTTTTCATCAATTGCGAAACACTTATATTGCAGTATGTTTCGATTTTTGGCGGTTTTTGTCAAAATAAAACTATAAAAAAAAATAAATGAGTATCTCTTAGATATTTACCGATATAAAACAAGTCATAATCATTGTTAATATATTCAAATATCTAAGAGGTACTCGGCTTCGGTCATATTAAAAAATGTTTAAAACTTGGAATATGCCTTCCAGGCGATTCGCGTTCAGTTGATACAACTCGCAATTCCGTAAATATGGTGCTTCTCGAGTAGGACCGCCGGACGAGTTGACGGTACTTCAGTAAGCAATGAACTAGACATCCTGTATATATTAAATACACCTGTACTAACATTGTTTTATAGAATTGTAATGAAATACAACGTGTTCACAGGCTTGTGGTCAGCGGTTGAATACTTCGTTCTGTCACCAAGGTGTTCCGGTGAGCAGACAGTTATATTCTAACCAGCTGTCAGAAAGCTGACTGTTCAACTATGCATCGGATGTATTGCAATATTTCACAAACATTAATTAAGCAGGCTAATGATATCCAAGAGAAATTTACCATGTGTTGAAAGCCAAAGTTAAAACAATCTCATTACACTGCTCGTGTAGTCGTTTTGAGTTCAGATCGAGTTACTGTCCTCCATTAGTGAGAATTTCCCTTTAGTCGAACCTGAGAACGTCCGGCTAGAGACGGAAGGATCACTAGTTCGAACCCCACTTGGTCAGGTTTTCTTCATTGTTCAATTTAGTTACAGATTTGGTGCCGTTGACCAATCCAGTGGTTGCAGCTATACTAGACTGAGGTATGTCCTTATTTCACTTGAAACTATTGTTCCATACTTATTATCGACAAATCTCACGTCTGAAATCATTAGATCTATATGATATTTCAAGTCAGTTTGTCATTAAATCCACAAATGTTTTTTTTCTGATGAGAATCTTGTCGCGTGCTTTTAAGTGTTTTAACTGTAAAATTCACATACAGACTAATCTTTTTTAAATCTACTATGAAACTATCAAATTTATCCTGTTCCACTTTTCTGTGTTTGAATGGTTGCTGTGGCACAATAGTTGTTGCTATGGGACTTTAAAACATTGTCTGCCGTTGTTAGTTGAGTTAAAATTTCGAAAAATGAAACATCGGTTAATTAGTTATAAAAAATGTGACTTCGTCAGAGGGGAACGTAACGATCTGTGGTGGTTGTACATCTTTACCTCGATTGAAATATACATAATCACCTTATTCAGTTTATCCGTAATCCACAACTTAAATTTATTTTGCAACAGGACAACATAAGTCCTCATATGGCATGCAACAAAACGATTGTTAAGCATTAGCGTTTTTGTTCTTCTGGATCTTAAGATGCCTAATAACAATACGTCATAATGGTCATGGCCACGAATGAAAGCGATCATGTTTAACACTCGGGTTTGTAGTCGTTCCTAAATTCAATTCCAGATGGTGAGAGAAAAATCATTCATATTTATCCAATGGAAAAACACTTATCAATCCACAAAGCCCGTTAGAACAAATGAATATTGTTAAAATACATACCTATATTCTATAGTTACAAATGGGAAAAGGAAATGGGTACAAAAAATCAGAGATAATACACAAATGTGTATAATTACGATTTAAGTATTCCATCGAATCTTCGTTCATGAAACAGCTGATTTGATCAGTACAAAATTTGAAAAATTCAGTCTACAGTAGACTTATATCTTAGAGAAACAACATTAAAGAATCGTGAACAGCAGTACTTAGATTGTCTGAATATACTTACTCGAGAACAGCTGTGGTACGGTCAGAAAGGCAATGCATCGCATCCCAGAACAGAACGCCATGCCATTGGTAACAAAGACACCAACTACGGAGGCCGAAATTCCGGCGGTCAAAGGTTGAAACTTAAACTGGAAAGCTATGACGAGGTAAATGATAAGAGTAGCTAACATCCCCAGGATCAGACCTGAAAATGTGAGACAGAAAGCGAGTTGTGCATTATGTATTGCTAATTTGAAATGTAGAAAACTGTATCCCTTCCATACAGGCGACAGTGGAGACAGGTCCGAGGGTCACATTTCTGTGACAAAAGGGCTTTACTTCGATGGAAAACAATCCAGCAATGGATGGTTCCTTATACAATATCTCATCATCTCAGATCTACGACCCAGATGTTCCTTATACAATATCTCATCATCTCGGGTCTACGACCCGGATGTTCCTTATACACTATCTCATCATCTCAGATCTACGACCCGGGTGTTCCTTATACACTATCTCATCAACTCAGGTCTACGACCCGGATGTTCCTTATACACTATCTCATCATCTCAGGTCTACGACCCGGATGTTCCTTATACACTTTCTCATCATCTCAGATCTACGACCCGGATGTTCCTTATACACTATCTCATCAACTCAGGTCTACGACCCGGATGTTCCTTATACACTATCTCATCATCTCAGGTCTACGACCCGGATGTTCCTTATACACTTTCTCATCATCTCAGATCTACGACCCGGATGTTCCTTATACACTATCTCATCATCTCTGATCTACGACCCGGATGTTCCTTATACACTATCTCATCATTTCAGATCTACGACCCGGATGTTCCTTATACACTATCTCATCATCTCAGATCAACGACCCGGATGTTCCTTATACGATTTCTCATCAACTCAGATCTACGACCCAGATGTTCCTTATACACTATCTCATCATCTCAGATCAACGACCCGGATGTTCCTTATACGATATCTCATCAACTCAGATCTACGACCCGGATGTTCCTTATACACTATCTCATCAACTCAGGTCTACGACCCGGATGTTCCTTATACACTATCTCATCAACTCAGATCTACGACCCGGATGTTCCTTATACACTATATCATCATCTCAGATCTACGACCCGGATGTTCCTTATACACTATCTCATCAACTCAGATCTACGACCCGGATATTCCTTATACACTATCTCATCATCTCAGATCAACGACCCGGATGTTCCTTATACGATATCTCATCAACTCAGATCTACGACCCTGATGTTCCTTATACACTATCTCATCAACTCAGGTCGACGACCCGGATGTTCCTTATACACTATCTCATCAACTCAGATCTACGACCCTGATGTTCCTTATACACTATCTCATCAACTCAGGTCGACGACCCGGATGTTCCTTATACACTATCTCATCAACTCAGATCTACGACCCGGATGTTCCTTATACACTATCTCATCATTTCAGATCTACGACCCGGATGTTCCTTATACACTATCTCATCAACTCAGATCTACGACCCGGATGTTCCATTTACAGTAGTATTTAAATCACTTAGATATCAATTAATGGAATACATATCAGATTAATTGATGAGATTACATTTTTCGATCAAAATGTAAATGCCCAATCAAAATTGTACCAACATATATATATATTACAACTGCTTACCCAAAACATTCCTCATCAATCCATTTTCATAGGTTCCATTTGTGAAAATACGTCCACAACAGTTGTTTGGTAATTGTCTTGGTCTGTCTAAAATACAACAGGGACAGAATACCCGGCAGCATGCGTTTCGTAGAGATGACATACAGCTGATGTAACACTGTCTGTACCTGTGTGGAACATTACATTGTGTAAGGAACTATGTCTGTAATGATGGCGGTAGTGTCCTGTGTGGGGCTCTGTGTCAATAACAAGAGACGTTACATTGTGTGAGGAATTGTGTCTATAAGGATGGCGGTAGTGCCCTGTGTGGGGCGCTATGTCGGTAGTAATAAAGGTATTAACAGTGTTGGTAATAATATAGATATCATTCTAACAATGTCGACAATAATAGAGGCAAGGCTTTGGAATCGAGTCAGTTTTAAAATAAGCATTATTTTAGATGAGAATCTGTGTCGGTGACAACAGGGGTGTTATATTGGGTGGGGACATATCGGAAATATTATATTTGTAGTAAAATAATGGACCAGTCTATCTCAATCAAGAAGATGAGGTTAGGAAATTGCCTGTTACATGTAGCATGGTTGTGTCAGAGTCAACTCAATGAACTTGTGGCCTAGAAGTAGTCAGCTAATGTAACTTGAATGAATGACATACCATGGTTGGATTGGAGGAAGTCCTTGGTGGAGCCGGACTGCATTCTCTTTTGCTTTTGACAACCGATTCAGTGCGATCTTGATCTTGAGTGCCTTAATGATTATTTTGGGATTCATGCTGTTACTTCCAGAAAGATCACATGTAAAATATGGCGCCGACTGTAAAATAATATGACGTCAGTGACGTTATTCTTCTGTGACGTCATAATTTGATTCTAATGACATCACTCTGAAGATATGTGTGTCTCTCCGGTGGTTCTGTCAAATGATAATTAACGGCCGGGATAACATTGATACATGGAATGACCCACGAAATGATTTGGTCCATGAAAATAAATATCGTTACCACACAGAACTTTGTTTAAAGCGCTAGGCTTACGTATACATACTTATTTAACACCTTAAGTCAGTCAAAAATAGTTTGATGGAAACATACTACATTGTAAAGTATTAGACATGGGGTTAGGATCAACGTATTGCAACTTATCACCGCCCTCTCCCCCTTCTTTCCATAGATAATGTATTTCAAAAACAACATGACAATCAAAACAGTTTCAGTTCAACCGAAAAGAAAGGGTTTTTTTTTTTTTTTTTTGTTTTGTTTTGTTTGTTTGTTTGTTTGTTTTTTTTTTGTTATTTTGTTTGTGTAGTTGTTCTTTTTTCCTCGAAATTTATCGCTGGATGTCCATTAAAGTCCATAAAAATATTTAAAGTTATTCATGTTCATGTCTACGGTTTAATGTGAATTTTCCCGAATATGTACCGATGTTAACTTGTGACATTCAAAGTATGAACAATTTTTATGAGAACTTTTCTCTCATTTGTTAAATAAAAAAATGAGAAATTAGTAAAATGTACAAAGAAGAATATAACATACATATCTTTTAATCTCATTGATCTTATCATATGGAATGGATTCTTTGATACTTGTATCATCTATAAACAGAAAAACATGCCCGATACTCCGAAGTTCCGTTACTCCGAAATCCCCGCAAAACTGGGTAAGGATTTTGCCTAAACAACAATAAAACACCAATTTTGTTAGGGATATTCCTCAAAGGCAGGCAGACATATGCGTTTGATGGTTTACATCATTTGACAGGTATTTGACTGGACGGTGGACAGTAGACGTCCTAATTATTCATATTTCTGATGATCACTAGAACGGGATATTGACGTTTAAGTGTCGAGTGTAAATTCAGACAAAATATTGAATATGATTTCTTCAAATCAGTGTTCGTTAATACAGTTCAATTTGAATTGCTCTTGAACAAATATTTAAATTATGATCCGCTGTGCCTGTGGTATCATAAAAATATACGTACATTATCTACCGCTATCTATTTATATCATCCAACCTTAACACGTGTATTGCCATATATGGTACATTCTGGCGCAAAGGGAAAATATAGTTAAATTTAGCAATGTACAGCGTTTGTACAGAGGTGGGGTCCGCATTCAACTATCAAATAATTTCATTCTTTAAATCAGAAATAGTATTTTAAAATGTAAAGCAGGTAAATTTGGCGTCTTGACGAAATTGTCATATATAAGCCAATATAGGGCTGTATGTATCATTGAGCATCCAACTTTCCCAGTTTCCCATCCCGCCAAATCTATATCATGGGAAATAAATATCATTTCTGTGGACCTAGATTTTTTCTCGTCTCTCGTTACACTTGAGAAACACTCCAAGGTGTCGCCCTGTAGTTTACATGTGTAGGTCCAACAGCTTCAAACAGGATGAATTTCAGCGAAAACGATTGTTAAATCTGGCAAGAATTTACTACCGCCAGTTCAAGTAATTTTACTAACTACGTCATTTATGTATTTTACAACAATTGTGAAACAAACTTTCGACTTATATTAATCACTCTTGGTGGCCCGAATGGAAGTGCACGGGAGGGTCTTCTTGTGGGAGGAAACACGGGGAAAACACATGTGGTCGGGCAGGCGACCCCATACCTTTATCACGTCTGTTCCGGGAATCGACGTCAAGGTGGAAGCCGAGTGCATTACCACTACGCCACCCGATCCCCTGTTTTACGGAAGTTTTACATCCATTAGTGTATATACATACACATACTTGCATGTTCAATAGAAATTAAATCTGACAGACGATCCTAAATATTTAATGTAAATGTCTTTTTTTTTTAAATCCTATTTCTCTGTGATTATGAAATGAGTATTTCAATTATAATTCTTTTGTATGTTAACGACCGTAGCGACTTGATGAGGTGATCTGACCACGCGGAGACATTTTCCAACGTTTACGCACTGACGACTACGCAAATTTTTAAATCAAACTCTCTGGAGTTATCTTCCTTTAACAAACGCTAAGCAAATGCTTCCCTTACATTGAGTACAAGTGAACTACTGATGGTGAGTTCAGCTTGATTATAATCAATATAACAGGATTATAATTTACTCACTGATTATAAAAGGATATTATCATCATTTCCTTCATGTATAACACAGTGTGCTTCTGGGTAGTTTGTATGCAAATATACTAGAACCCTCAGATTTGTTAAAAGTCGGTATTTTTTTGACTGATTTATATGAAACATAAAATCGGCGTATTAGAAGAGGTATCACGATTATTGTAAACACCTTTTCACTTGATTATTTGATATTTTGCCAACATAAGTTTAGGCTAAAATGCAGCTAACAGGTAATAAGTATGTTTTTTCTCCTCAAATCTTCAGTATACAATAAAACATTGTATATACATATAGATCCTTATTTCGGTAGCAATAACTAAAGAAGGATTTATATCAAAATTCGAAATTTATGTTAATGGAAGTAGCCACTATACAACAACTGACTTAATTACATAATCTGAACACACGGGGAAATTGTACTTTTTACTTGCCGAAATACACTCTATTACATTTCTAATTGAAGATGTCTGGAGTTATCTCCCTTTGCAAACTTTAAGTAATGTTTATTCTATATTGAATAAGTTAAAATTACTGATAATGAGTTGAGTTTGCTCAAAATCAATTATATTAAATTTAAACATTAATAATTTAAAATAGATATTGTCATAATTTCTTTAAAGATGCTTTCCATTGGTTCAATAAATGGTGTATTTATTCAAATATACTGGTACCCTCAGTTATGGAAAGCAAATATTCTATGGGTCTGATTTTGAGATAGTCGCGGCAGGAAAGGTTTAGTTAACACCAGACTATTGTTATAAACAATCGATACAAAAAGTTAAATTTCAATCGTTTATTTCTTATTGTGAAAATGTTTAGGAAACAGTATCACTAAAGTAATACAGCCACTATCATTGGAGTAGGCTGGTGTAACCTTGAGGATGGTCCCGCTAAAAATGGACCCATAGTAAACACTGAAAATTATTTTTACCGCCCGCTGAAAATGGACACTGTTAAAATCTTGTTCAACAGGAAATTATGATAGGAAGGGATCTTGTTCAACAGGTAATTATGACGGGGAGGGAATCTTGTTCAACAGGTAATTATGACGGGGAGGGATCTTGTTCAACAGGTAATTATGATAGGAAGGGATCTTGTTCAACAGGTAATTATGACGGGGAGGGAACATTGTTCAACAGGTAATTATGACGGGGAGGGATCTTGTTCAACAGGTAATTATGATAGGAAGGGATCTTGTTCAACAGGTAATTATGACGGGGAGGGAACATTGTTCAACAGGTAATTATGACGGGGAGGGATCTTGTTCAACAGGTAATTATGATAGGAAGGGATCTTGTTCAACAGGTAATTATGACGGGGAGGGAATCTTGTTCAACAGGTAATTATGACGGGGAGGGAATCTTGTTCAACAGGTAATTATGACGGGGAGGGAATCTTGTTCAACAGGTAATTATGACGGGGAGGGAATCTTGTTCAACAGGTAATTGTGATGGGGAGTGATCTTGTTCAACAGGTAATTGTGATAGGGAGGGAATCTTTTCCCACGAACTTTGAACTAACGAGTAATTCTTCTTGCAGAAACAAAAAAGTAAACAATGTGTAATAGTTAAACTTTATCTACAATGACAAAGATTTTCAGAAACAATTTCTGTTACCACGAATCCCAGAGCGCTGAGACATATACATGAAAGGTATCCAGTGATACTATTGAGACTATCACATTATGTTCTTGGTTCTGCTTCAAATCACATTACATAAGTGTTTTAAGGAAGACAGTACAAAACGCATCTAATGAATCGCCATTCATAGAACCATATGCTATCTAAATCAATACATCTTACATTAAATCTGGGGCGTATGTTCTGGTACATAACCGCCAACACGTCATATTTACCCAAGAACGAAGCTATAATGGTATCAAAATGAGTAAGTGTGCTTAAGAACTAGTACTCCAAAACAACTGCGTGTATATAATATGTTATAGAGGAAGATATGATTGCAAACATCTGACGCTCATTTACCATTATATTTAGTGTATTTGATAAAGAACTACCGCTCTCACATCACTGTTTGTGTATTTACTTAAGAACTATCGCCCTCACAACATCACAGTTTCTATATATACTTAAGAACTATCGCCCTCACAACATCACAGTTTGTATATTTACTTAAGAACTATCGCCCTCACAACATCACAGTTTGTATATTTACTTAAGAACTATCGCCCTCACAACATCACAGTTTGTATATTTACTTAAGAACGCTAATATCACATCACAGATTGAATATCTATTAAAAAATTACATTGTTACGGTGGTTTAACGCTAATTTGACATCAGATTTTGATGGAAATAATGCTCAGGTAAGAGTAATCACTTTCCTCTTTGACTGTGTAATGGTCTGTAATAGAGAGAGTAAAGTCGGCATTATATTGCCCTGTCTAGCTGGTGTAATGGTCTGTAATAGAGAGAGTAAAGTCGGCATTATATTGCCCTGTCTAGCTGGTGTAATGGTCTGTAATAGAGAGAGTAAAGTCGGCATTATATTGCCCTGTCTAGCTGGTGCAATGGTCTGTCATAGAGAGAGTAAAGTCGGCATTATATTGCCCTATCTAGCTGGTGCAATGGTCTGTCATAGAGAGAGTAAAGTCGGCATTATATTGCCCTATCTAGCTGGTGCAGTGGTCTGTCCGTAAGACAGTAGAGCGATATCACGTTGTCCTGTTAAGCTGGCATAATTTTCTCTCATGAGAAAAAAAATCAGTAACAATTGATACTATCCGGTTTATGTGTCGTTCTTTCCTCTTTCTGAAATCAGACGTGTTACCATCATGTACTCCTGTCTAGATCATGTGTCGTTCTTTCCTCTTTCTGAAATCAGAAGCGTTACCATAATGTATTCCTGTCTAGATCATGTGTCCTGTGTAGCGCTGTTTTTTCATGAGTACAGTAGTCATCATGTTGTTGTGTCTAGCTGTTGTGTCCTGAGTATAGTATTATCGCCAGCATATTGTCTAACTCATATGTCCTGTCTAAAGGAGGCGGCTTCATGTGCGTCCTGCCTAGCTAATATGATGTCCACAGGGCTATATTACAGATATCTTGTCTGGCTGATGTTCTTAAGACAGTAATGTTAACATATCGTTGTCCTGTCTGCGTCCGGTGTTGTCCTGTCCTGTATATGCTTACACAGTAATGAAGACAGCAGCTTGTACTTTCCATCCTGAACAAAATAATCAGAAAGAAATACATGCAATCAGACGAGGGATCCAATAGACAGAGTCCGCATCACATCCATTGATATGAATATGATTAGTGTGTGAAATGGAAGCTTTTAATATCAAAAGTGAATTTTTCAAGAGTGACCTTGTACCTTTATCTTTGAAAGAAATTGAAGATCGCAAGCATTAAACACACTTGTATTTAAGAACTACACAGCATCATTTCGTCTCACCTCAACATCCAGAACCGATGTAGCATCTAGCAACTTAAAGAATTTCCCCTCGTCATATTGGGTATACATATAACGCTTTCCCTTGTACATTCCATCTGTTTCACCGACTACAACAAAAAGACGGAAAATATCTTGTTACCTTACCCTTGGAAATGGGTTGTCTTAATGCAAGAAAAACAGTATAAACAGTAAACAAGAGTTCCTCGGAACTGTATGTGTCGCCTGCATAAAGTGTCACGTTCACCCAGAAATGGAACTGGATGTGCAACGATCAACCATAAAGTTGTAATACCAAATTTCATTTCAATAACTCGAAGCATAAAGGGAAAACTGTGCAAAGCAATATTCCTGAGAAATTTCAAAGGGACATATCACTGCCAAGAAGGGTTACGGACTGCCAGGAACGGAACTCGGTGCGCAACTTTTGACCAAGAACTCATATACAAAATTACATTTTGATAACTCGAAGCATAACCCAAGAAAATTCCAGAATACAATATTCCCAAAGAATTGTACAAAAAACCATATTCTCGAAGAATTTTCGAAGAGGCATAACTCTGCAAAGAAGACATCCAAGAATCAAAACTTATCTGTACCCTTGCAACAAGAAGCCATATAGCAAATGTCATTTCTATAACTCAAAGCATAACCAAAGAAAGTCCAGAAAACTATCGATGGCTTCATGAGTTATCTTGTACCCAATTTACATTTCCCAAAAGTACCAAGTGTTGCTTTTGAAATTGAGTTCCTGAGATATTTTATACGCATGGTTATCACGGACGCACAGACTGACGCATACACGGACGGGCGGAAAGACGCTTACAATAATAACTCTCAACCCTAATTACAATTAAAAATGATTAATGTGATACGTACCTGGATCATCCAGCCTCACTCCTACATACATACGGGGGTCAAAACCAGCTTTATCCAGAGTGCCTCGGTACTTCACGATACCAGTATAGATCTTCGGCTTTGGAACTGGAATAAATGTTTGGTATTTGTTTAAATAATTTGCATGTTATATTTTTTCATCTAAGTATAAAAAGTAAAATAAAGATGTTGCAGGAGAACAGACGCGACAGTTTTAAGACCAATAAGCTTACACAAAACGGTCCACACATTATCAGCTCTTTATGTCAACCTACACAAAATCAGAAATAGCCAATATTACATAACATGTATCAGGATTAGCGGGATTATCATAATAAACTCGCGGGATTATCAGAATAAACTAGAGGGATTATCAGAATAAACTAGAGGGATTATCAGAATATACTAGAGGGATTATCAGGATAAACTAGAGGGATTATCAGAATAAACCAGCGAGATTATCAGAATAAACTAGCGGGATTATCAGAATAAACTAGAGGGATTATCAGAATAAACTAGAGGGATTATCAGAATAAACTAGAGGGATTATCAGAATAAACTAGCGGGATTATCAGTCTTGTACATAAATATAAAACCCCTTACGTCACTTCGGTGACAGTTATAAGTAGTAACTGTTAAAATTTCACGGAAAATCGTTTACAAAAATGATATTGTGAATACGAAAATTCCGTGAAAATGTGAACGTTTAAAACGACCTGTAAACAAAGATTACATTAAACACCTTACTGATCACGTTAATCACCGCCTCGGTAAAACTATTTTTGACATCTCTGGTAATTAACCGTGTTTGGGGCCAATGTCATTGAAATTAGCATCGGAAGTACTTATTCTTGTGTTACTTTGATTCTTTTTCTGATAAAATGAATGATCTTTTGCACGATAAATATAATTATGTTGAAATTTTGCGGTAGTCCGAAATTAATGCTAAGTTAATTACCACTTGGTTCCCTTTAAAAAAATGATTTACTTTAGAGGTGGTACAGGTAGCAAAAGTATATTCTAAAATTGTAGAAAATCTTTGACCGCAGACATGCTACCAGAGACGTATATATCACATATATATATGTCTCTGGTGCTATTATCTACTTACCAATTTTCTTGCCGTAACGTGGAGGCTTCTGGGGCACACTGAATAAAATCCTATCCCCGAGAGACACAAATTTACACAAAATATCCTCTTTCTGTCGGGAAGAAAGTTTGGCCAGTTTTGATATTAAAGCTGTACTTGTGGAATTAGTCAAATTGGCTGAAGACAATGACGACAGTTCGCTACTGAGTGACTGCTCTGACCTTGACCTATGTATCCAAGGTGATGTGCCACGTGGGGACTGTGTTCGTTGACTTATAGAATCATAATTCATACTGTTTCTACTGTATGAAGTGCCTTCTGTCCTTTCAAAACAGTTACTCGTGTGTTTACGGTCAACAGCCGACATTCGTCCTGAGGATGGCTCGCTCGACTGGTGTGACCGTTTTGACAGGGACGAATGAGTTCTCGCGATGCTAGCTGTCTCCTTGTATGAGGACGTCCGTTTGACTGTGGGCCTTACTATGGCAGTTTTTGAACGCAGATCTTCATTACTACCCATTAAAAGTTCTTGTATGATATCTGCAGACACCGGACGCTTTCTGTAATATGACTTTTTCTCCATCTCACCGGAATAAGGGTGTTTGTTCACATCTATGTCCGGTCCATTCTAAAATATAGATTTTTTACAATTAATTTATTTATAGTTTTATAAATTATTTATCAGATAAACATATTTCTTTATCTGTTCAACAAGTGATTATAACACATCGGTATATGTAGTGTGGTCGTTTCCTTTAGACCCAGCAGCCTTCAGTTGTTACAAACGTTACGCAATTTTAGCTCACATAGACACAACCAAGAATTCATCCGAACTGTCAACCTATACAGAAATATACATGGTATGATATGTCTCATTATTTCCAAATATGGTTCGCTCCAATTTCACCATGCCGACCTCAGAAACTTCCATCCCAAATACTTTCCCTGTTTAAAGTGGCGCTTTCTCAAACCTGCCATACATGGGAGAGATGACTTGTTTGAGGGGAAATTCGTTTGTAGGTGAAGTTTATCTGTATAGATCTGGAAAGTATGCTGTTTTTGTACATTATATTTAGCAATTCTTAATGTACAATTCATTTATGTAGAAAAAAAACTTATTGGGTTTAAAAAATAATTTTCTATCGGAAAACACAATAAATACAATGAATACAAACAAGTATGCGTGATCACTCGGCCATGACGATGCGTGATCACTCGGCCATGACGACGAGGACCTAAATGATTCCGTCCCCAGTGTAGATTGTGACCTGTCTGATGGTTCGGCATTGGAGAAAGATCAGTATTGGAAATACTTTTTAGTATTATAATTAGGATAAACGATTCTGTTCATTGCTATTTCGTTCAGAGTTAAAGGTAATGTATATCGTGAAGGACGTGTTTGAGGAGGTTACACTATACAAAATATTTTGGCCCTACTGTATTAAAGTCTCTCTTTAAAATGTCTTTCCCCCCAAATGGAAGCATTGTAATTTTCACAACACTAACAGCAGAAGTCAATACACTATTTCTAAGTCTATCCGATAAACACATAACGATGGACGACTTCATTTGAACACCTCTTGTTCCAAGCGGTGAGCCAGATGTTGAGGTGATTTGTGATGTAACACGGTCTAGTACTTACATTTTGTTTGGGGAAAGCCTTGTTCCGGCCTGACTGTGGTGAGAGGTGGTCTCCACTGCCTTGGGTATCACTGAAGGTGTGGTCACTGGAACTTAAAACCGGTGTTATGATTATCGCACGAGTAACAAGTCCCGAGTGATAAAATCCTATAGGATCATATCTAGACTTACTGTATACTTCTCACTTCGAACAAACAGAAAGTAGGAGTGACCCACCTTGTCAGCCACTTACAGACGTTTATGCTAACGACAGACTCAGTTGTATCACCGGAATGTGAAATGGAGTGTACTATAAGGACAGTTTCGTGACATATTCAAATCAACTTTTCTCGGCTTCCATGTGCACATCAGAAAGTCGAAAAATATGATAATTGTTAGAGTAGGTCATGTCCACAATCAAGTGGTCACTTTCAATTGTAATTTCACAATGGTATATCAAATCAAAACAATATTTCAAAGACACGTGCAGACAACTTCGGCTGGATCTACCGTCACTGGTCAAAGCCTCTCCATGATGTCCGATGTTCTAGCGACTTTTAAATACAAATACCTTTGTCATTCAGTGATAGACACAATGGATTTCCGGTATATGTATGTTTGTATACTTATCTATACACGTGACAGTCTACCCGTACACTTATTGTATACTTATCTATACACGTGACAGTCTACCCGTACACTTATTGTATACTTATCTATACACGTGACAGTCTACCCGTACACTTATTGTATACTTATCTATACACGTGACAGTCTACCCGTACACTTATTGTATACTTATCTATACACGTGACAGTCTACCCGTACACTTATTGTATACTTATCTATACACGTGACAGTCTACCAGTACACTCACCTCACGCTGCCAGATGGTTTATATTGTGGTTGTTGGTTTCCAATCTTCTCCAGAAGACGAACTATTTTGTCTATCTGTTCTCTCTCTGTTGACTGTTTCATGGTGATGATTGCATCCTTAAGTCAAGAGGGACATAGTTACAGAATATACCCGTACGACTTCATAGTGATAACTATAAGGACAAATGGTGAGTTTGATAAATCGAATTATTTTAAAACCTTTAATGACACTTTAATGGCAAACCATCAAAATGTATTGTCTGAAATAGGGTTTAAGACTCTGGTAATCTCTGTTCAGACTTCTGGATACTTATATGATGGACAAAACACATCCCCGGATACTTATATGATGGACAAACACATCCCCGGATACTTTTATGATGGGCAAAACACATCTCCGGATACTTATATGATGGGCAAAACACATCCCCGGATACTTATATAATGGGCAAAACACATCCCTGATACTTATATAATGGGCAAAACACATCCCCGGATACTTTTATGATGGACAAACACATCCCCGGATACTTTTATGATGGGCAAAACACATCTCCGGATACTTATATGATGGGCAAAACACATCCCCGGATACTAATATGATGGGCAAAACACATTCCCGGATACTTTTATGATTGGCAAAAACACATCCCCGGATACTTATAAGATGGACAAAACACATCCCCGGATACTTATGTGATGGGCAAAACACATCCCTGGATACTTTTATGATTGGCAAAAACACATCCCCGGATACTTATAAGATGGACAAAACACATCCCCGGATACTTATAAGATGGACAAAACACATCCCCGGATACTTATGTGATGGGCAAAACACATCCCTGGATACTTATATGATGGACAAAAAAACATCTCCGGATACTTTTATGACTGGAGAAAAATATTCAGTTATTTTTATGATGGGGGATTCTAGTATATCGTCACATCGATGCTTTCACATATATATTAGACTCAGAGTAATATCCGATGTGATACAGACATATACTGTCGGAATGAATTTTGTGAATATTATCACTTTTCCATCAATCTGAAGATTGATTTCTGTAAACGATACAACACAACACAGCCACTTCCTTTGCCATATTTTTTACCTTTGCCAGATCTAATGCCTTGGACTTCTGCAAAATGAGGTAATCTTTTCCCTGTAGCAGCTTTTTGAGAGTAGTGACTTCACACTGGACAATTCCTAGCTCCTCTTTCAGGTTCTCAGACTGTGATGCTGTCCTCTCTAAGTCCTGTATAAAAGTCAGGGACCAAACATCATTCTCTATAAGGAATCTGGTCATCACGTTTCAGTCAGACAAATAGAAGGCAAATACACCAAGGAATGATTTATGGTTGGTATAATTCCTTCAAAAAGCATTTTATTTCAACTAAAGTTAAACTCTGTAGATGATTTTAAATACGATTTACACTTAGTTTCTCCCCTTGCTTGCTCCTGACTTCCAAATGACCACTACTGTCGGTAACGACCTCGTGTGACCATTCCAAATGACCACTACTGTCGGTAACAACCTCACGTGACCTTTTCAAATGACCACTACTGTCGGTAACGACCTCGTGTGACCATTCCAAATGACCACTACTGTCGGTAACGACCTCATGTGACCATTCCAAAATGACCACTACTGTCGGTAACGACCTCATGTGACCATTCCAAATGACCACTACTGTCGGTAACAACCTCACGTGACCTTTTCAAATGACCACTACTGTCGGTAACGACCTCGTGTGGCCATTCCAAATGACCACTACTGTCGGTAACGACCTCATGTGACCATTCCAAAATGACCACTACTGTCGGTAACGACCTCTTGTGACCATTCCAAATGACCACTACTGTGGGTAACGACCTCGTGTGACCATTCCAAGTGACCACTACTGTCGGTAACGACCTCCTGTGACCATTTCAAGTGACCACCACAATAGGTATAATCATTGCTATCAGCACTTACCCTTTGCTGCTCCTAATGTCGAAAAAATACCGTCAGTAAACACAATAAGCAGATCATGGACATTACTATTAATATCCACCATGGGCTGATTAGAACCACTACTATCGGTACTTACCACCAGCTGTGTCCGGTACCGAACTGACCACAACCATTACACCTACACTTACATGTAGCTACTTCGGGTATCTAAATGACCACAACATTTACTACTGACCCTCAACTGTTCCCTATATCTAAATGACCACAACATTTACTACTGACCCTCAGCTGTTCCCTTTATCTAAATGACCACAACATTTACTACTGACCCTCAGCTGTTCCCGATATCTAAATGACCACAACATACACTACTGACCCTCAGCTGTTCCCGATATTCCCGTACAGCCTTCCTTGATGTGGTCAGTAAAATTGTCTTCTCCTCGAGCTCTTTCTGCATGCTCTGGATGTGTAGCTCTTTTTCCTCTATTTCTTCTTTCAATCTAGGAATCGTTTCCAAATTCTTTTGAGGAAAAATGAAAATAATTAATTTCTTTAGGTTAGAGTGGAATCATGAGGTATCCCGATTTTGTTGAAATGTGTTTCCTCATTTTTTCTTTTTGTACATGTTTCAGGAATCTATACCAGTCTATATTTGTCAAGAACCTACTTACTGATAACTAACAGAAGTGTTTCAAGCTATCTTCATGCAGACAAATGATTTAAGTAAAACTGTCCTCTATAAAACTGTGATTGGTAAAACAGTTCTAAGTAGTAGGCATCAATAGTTCATGTGATGAAACTTAAGGTCACATCACTTTGAAAAGTAGTTCTTCGGGAATTACCACTTTCAAAATTTGGAGTCGAGAAAACAATAAAAATAAAAATGAAGAAAAATCGACCCTCAAAAAAATATTTTAAAATTCCGGATTTTTTTTGGTCGGATTTTTATTTCATACATCATTAAATTTATTCTCATAGATGCTTTAATCGCCAAGAAAGTGAACACAAGTAAAGCTCTGTTATGATGCAGCTAAAAACTGCGCGAAAGAACATGTTTTGGCCGATATGAATGTTTAAGTGCAAACGAGTAGGACGTTTTATACTGATTCTGTCCTAAAGCATAGAACCACTGTGTGTGACGTCGATAAAATTAAGTTGTGATTGTAAGACTGATGTTGTGACTCTAAGACTGATGTTGTGACTGTAAGACTGATGTTGTGACTATAAGACTGATGTTGTGACTATAAGACTGATGTTGTGACTGTAGGACTGATGTTGTGACTATAAGACTGATGTTGTGACTGTATATGTTGTTACTGACTGATGTTGTGACTCTAAGACTGATGTTGTGACTATAAGACTGATGTTGTGACTGTAAGACTGATGTTGTGACTATAAGACTGATGTTGTGACTATAAGACTGATGTTGTGACTGTAGGACTGATGTTGTGACTATAAGACTGATGTTGTGACTATAAGACTGATGTTGTGACTGTAAGACTGTATGTTGATGTTGTGACTGTAAGACTGATGTTGTGACTGTATGACTGATGTTGTGACTGTAGGACTGATGTTGTGACTATAAGACTGATGTTGTGACTATAAGACTGATGTTGTGACTGTAAGACTGATGTTGTGACTATAAGACTGATGTTGTGACTGTAAGACTGATGTTGTGACTATAAGACTGATGTTGTGACTATAACTGATGTTGTGACTATAAGACTGATGTTGTGACTATAAGACTGATGTTGTGACTGTAAGACTGATGTTGTGACTATAAGACTGATGTTGTGACTGTAAGACTGATGTTGTGACTGTAAGACTGATGTTGTGACTGTAAGACTGATGTTGTGACTATAAGACTGATGTTGTGACTGTAAGACTGATGTTGTGACTGTAGGACTGATGTTGTTGTAAGACTGATGTTGTTAAGACTGATGTTGTGACTGTAAGACTGATGTTGTGACTGTAAGACTGATGTTGTGTTACTCTAAGACTGATGTTGTGACTGTAGGACTGATGTTGTGACTGTAAGACTGATGTTGTGACTATAAGACTGATGTTGTGACTGTAAGACTGATGTTGTGACTGTAAGACTGATGTTGTGACTGTAAGACTGATGTTGTGACTATAAGACTGATGTTGTGACTGACTGATGTTGTGACTAAGACTGATGTTGTGACTATAAGACTGATGTTGTGACTGTAAGACTGATGTTGTGACTGTAAGACTGATGATGTTGTGACTATAAGACTGATGTTGTGACTGTAGGACTGATGTTGTGACTGTAAGACTGATTTTGTGACTGTAAGACTGATGTTGTGACTGTAAGACTGAAATTGTGACTGTAAGACTGATGTTGTGACTATAAGACTGATGTTGTGACTGTAAGACTGATGTTGTGACTATAAGACTGATGTTGTGACTATAAGACTGATGTTGTGACTATAAGACTGATGTTGTGACTGTAAGACTGATGTTGTGACTGTAAGATTCATGTTGTGACTGTAGGACTGATGTTGTGACTATAAGACTGATGTTGTGACTGTAGGACTGATGTTGTGACTGTAGGACTGATGTTGTGACTATAAGACTGATGTTGTGACTATAAGACTGATGTTGTGACTATAAGACTGATGTTGTGACTGTAGGACTGATGTTGTGACTATAAGACTGATGTTGTGAGTATAAGACTGATGTTGTGACTATAAGACTGATGTTGTGACTGTAAGACTGATGTTGTGACTGTAGGACTGATGTTGTGACTATAAGACTAATGTTGTGACTGTAGGACTGATGTTGTGACTATAAGACTGATGTTGTGACTATAAGACTGATGTTGTGACTGTAGGACTGATGTTGTGACTATAAGACTGATGTTGTGACTATAAGACTGATGTTGTGACTATAAGACTGATGTGGTGACTGTAAGACTGATGTTGTGACTGTAGGACTGATGTTGTGACTATAAGACTGATGTTGTGACTGTAAGACTGATGTTGTGACTGTAAGACTGATGTTGTGACTGTAGGACTGATGTTGGGACTGCAAGACTGATGTTGTGACTGTAGGACTGATGTTGTGACCATAAGACTGATGTTGTGACTATAAGACTGATGTTGTGACTATAAGACTGATGTTGTGACTGTAGGACTGATGTTGTGACTGTAGGACTGATGTTGTGACTATAAGACTGATGTTGTGACTGTAAGACTGATGTTGTGACTGTAAGGCTAATATTGTGACTGTAAGGCTAATATTGTGACTGTACTGTAGAATTATTGAATTCCAGAAGGACCGATCCCGATTACCTTTTCTATATTTTCGTTCTTCATTAGCTCCTGTCGTACTTGGTACTTCAGGTCCTGCGTCTTTGTCTCCATTTCTTTGACCTCTTTGTACGCTTGCTGGGAATTAGATAAAAATTTGATGTAGCCATTGTTCTAATGCTACATATCTTACGACAGTGTTGTTCCGCCACTCATTGTTGCACCTGTACTTTTAGACGTCTGATGGTCTTTATCACCCATCACCTCTGGGACATGGGTTCGAGTCCCCCGTGGGACTTTCCTCCACCAATCAACCCCGACACGTCCTTAAACAACCCTGGCTGTTAATAGGACGTAAGGTTACGATAACCTTAACTACAATAAGTCTATTATGAACTCACAGCTGACTAAAAGCTGGAAGTTGGAAGACGGAAATGGTTTTACTGACTTTCTCATAAAAATACGTTGTAGTATATTTGGCTGGTATTTAGATGAGAAAAGTAGGCCCGCAATATATTGTTCTCGTTTCATAAGAATGAAAATTAATACCATCTGGAATGCCGAACATCACTGTACGTCAATTTTTAGGCTTTGACAAAAGACACAATACTGCATATATATCTACATGTGGCCCATACAATTTCTGTATAATTTAATTGAAATTGGTTTCCAACTCTGGGAAACTGGAAAAGATCCCTCTAAACATACTTCTTATTTAGTTACCATGGCAATCAAAAACATGTTTTCAAAAATAGCACCCATGTGATTACCATGATTCTAAACCTTATACATCTATGACCCTTGGTAACGGTGTTGGAGACACCTGATTGGTCAAATTACTATCTTTGATAATCCTATAGAGTTAAACATTTTATCAAGAAAAAAATGTGTTTAATGACTTTGATACCATGGTAACCAATCTGTTTTTTTAACCTGTAAGTCTACAGTATATTCTACATGTATGGGACATCCCCAAATATTAATTTGCATCAAGAAAAAAAATCAAATAATCCTGGGCCATAAAACTAACAATTCTATCACATATTAACTGCAGTTTTTTTTATCTATATATTTACCTCTAACTTTTTGTCTGTTTCTTCCTGTTCTGACGTCAGTTTTCTTATTTCATGTTCGCGTCCTCTAAGCTGGGCTAATGTAGATTCCAAATTCTGTTTGGTCGATTCCAGAATAAGTTCAGCCTTGTCTACTTCAGAAGCTTCAAAATAAACATTTCACTTAATATGTTATTTAAAGAAAATAAAGTTATAATTATGATTAATATACAGTAGTTTCAGTTATGCTTTTCAACAGGGAAAGTGAAAGTAGCTACCTCTGATTTCCAGGTTCCGTATACGATCTTCCATGAAGCGTGTGTCCCGCTGAAACTTCTCAATCTGCTCCGTCTTTTTCTTGCTATCTAAACGAAGTCTTTCATTCAGCTCCATCGTTTTAAGGAGCTTTTGACTTGAATCATTTTGTCCAAGATACATTTGATCAACCTTTTTCTGCAGTATCTATTGGAGAAAAGAAGTATTTATTGTGTACAAACTTATTTCATAGTGATCAGAACATTTTATGTACAAACTTATTTCATAGTGATCAGAACGATCTACTGTGTACACTTATTTTATAGGTGTCAGAACGATCTACTGTGTACAAACTTATTTTATAGGGATCAGAACGATCTACTGTGTACACTTATTTTATAGATCTACTGTGTACACTTATTTTATAGGTGTCAGAACGATCTACTATGTACAAACTTATTTTATAGGGATCAGAACGATCTACTGTGTACAAACTTATTTTATAGGGATCAGAACGATCTACTGTGTGTACACTTATTTTATAGGTGTCAGAACGATCTACTATGTACAAACTTATTTTATAGGGATCAGAACGATCTACTGTGTACAAACTTATTTCATAGGTGTCAGAACGATCTACTTTGTACAAACTTATTTTATAGGTGTCAGAACGATCTACTGTGTACAAACTTATTTTATAGGGATCAGAACGATCTACTGTGTACACTTATTTTATAGTGATCAGAACGATCTACTGTGTACACTTATTTTATAGGTGTCAGAACGATCTACTATGTACAAACTTATTTTATAGGGATCAGAACGATCTACTGTGTACAAACTTATTTTATAGGGATCAGAACGATCTACTGTGTGTACACTTATTTTATAGGTGTCAGAACGATCTACTATGTACAAACTTATTTTATAGGGATCAGAACGATCTACTGTGTACAAACTTATTTTATAGGTGTCAGGATGATCTACTATGTACAAACTTATTTTATAGGTGTCAGAACGATCTACTGTGTGTACACTTATTTTATGGGTGTCAGAACGATCTACTGTGTGTACACTTATTTTTAGGGGGGCAAAACGATCTACTGTGTACAAGCTTATTTTATAGGTGTCAGAACGATCTACTGTGTACAAACTTATTTTATAGGGATCAGAACGATCTACTGTGTACACTTATTTTATAGGTGTCAGAACGATCTACTATGTACAAACTTATTTCATAGTGATCAGAACGATCTACTGTGTACAAACTTATTTTATAGGTGTCAGAACGATCTACTATGTACAAACTTATTTTATAGGGATCAGAACGATCTACTGTGTACAAACTTATTTTATAGGGGTCAGAACGATCTACTGTGTACACTTATTTTATAGGGGTCAGAACGATCTACTGTGTACAAACTTATTTTATAGGGGTCAGAACGATCTACTGTGTATAAACTTATTTTATAGGGATCAGAACGATCTACTGTGTGTACACTTATTTTATAGGTGTCAGAACGATCTACTATGTACAAACTTATTTTATAGGGATCAGAACGATCTACTGTGTACAAACTTATTTTATAGGTGTCAGAACGATCTACTATGTACAAACTTATTTTATAGGTGTCAGAACGATCTACTGTGTACAAACTTATTTTATAGGTGTCAGAACGATCTACTATGTACAAACTTATTTTATAGGTGTCAGAACGATCTACTATGTACAAACTTATTTTATAGGTGTCAGAACGATCTACTATGTACAAACTTATTTTATAGGTGTCAGAACGATCTACTGTGTACAAACTTATTTTATAGGGATCAGAACGATCTACTGTGTACAAACTTATTTTATAGGTGTCAGAACGATCTACTATGTACAAACTTATTTTATAGGTGTCAGAACGATCTACTATGTACAAACTTATTTTATAGGTGTCAGGACGATCTACTATGTACAAACTTATTTTATAGGTGTCAGAACGATCTACTGTGTGTACACTTATTTTATGGGTGTCAGAACGATCTACTGTGTGTACACTTATTTTTAGGGGGGCAAAACGATCTACTGTGTACAAGCTTATTTTATAGGGGTCAGAACGATCTACTGTGTATAAACTTATTTTATAGGGATCAGAACGATCTACTGTGTGTACACTTATTTTATAGGTGTCAGAACGATCTACTATGTACAAACTTATTTTATAGGGATCAGAACGATCTACTGTGTACAAACTTATTTTATAGGTGTCAGAACGATCTACTATGTACAAACTTATTTTATAGGTGTCAGAACGATCTACTGTGTACAAACTTATTTTATAGGTGTCAGAACGATCTACTATGTACAAACTTATTTTATAGGTGTCAGAACGATCTACTATGTACAAACTTATTTTATAGGTGTCAGAACGATCTACTATGTACAAACTTATTTTATAGGTGTCAGAACGATCTACTGTGTACAAACTTATTTTATAGGGATCAGAACGATCTACTGTGTACAAACTTATTTTATAGGTGTCAGAACGATCTACTATGTACAAACTTATTTTATAGGTGTCAGAACGATCTACTATGTACAAACTTATTTTATAGGTGTCAGGACGATCTACTATGTACAAACTTATTTTATAGGTGTCAGAACGATCTACTGTGTGTACACTTATTTTATGGGTGTCAGAACGATCTACTGTGTGTACACTTATTTTTAGGGGGGCAAAACGATCTACTGTGTACAAGCTTATTTTATAGGGGTCAGAACGATCTACTGTGTGTACACTTATTTTATGGGGGGGCCAAACGATCTACTGTGTACAAGCTTATTTTATAGGTGTCAGAACGATCTACTGTGTACACTTATTTTATAGGTGTCAGAACGATCTACTGTGTACAAACTTATTTTATGGGGGGCAAAACGATCTACTGTGTACAAACTTATTTTATAGGTGTCAGAACGATCTACTGTGTACAAACTTATTTTATAGGGATCAGAACGATCTACTGTGTACAAACTTATTTTATAGGGGTCAGAACGATCTACTGTGTACACTTATTTTATAGGTGTCAGAACGATCTACTATGTACAAACTTATTTTATAGGTGTCAGAACGATCTACTGTGTACAAACTTATTTTATAGGGATCAGAACGATCTACTGTGTACAAACTTATTTTATAGGTGTCAGAACGATCTACTGTGTACGAACTTATTTTATAGGGGTCAGAACGATCTACTGTGTACACTTATTTTATAGGTGTCAGAACGATCTACTATGTACAAACTTATTTTATAGGGATCAGAACGATCTACTGTGTACAAACTTATTTTATAGGTGTCAGAACGATCTACTGTGTACAAACTTATTTTATAGGGATCAGAACGATCTACTGTGTACAAACTTATTTTATAGGTTTCAGAACGATCTACTATGTACAAACTTATTTTATAGGTGTCAGAACGATCTACTATGTACAAACTTATTTTATAGGGATCAGAACGATCTACTATGTACAAACTTATTTTATAGGTGTCAGAACGATCTACTATGTACAATCTAATTTTATAGGTGTCAGAACGATCTACTGTGTACAAACTTATTTTATAGGGGTCAGAACGATCTACTGTGTACAAACTTATTTTATAGGTGTCAGAACGATCTACTATGTACAAACTAATTTTATAGGGGTCTGAACAATCTACTGTGTATACACTTAATTTAGATTTATAAAGATTTAGTGAGTACACAATGTAAAGAGGATCAGAAGACTTTTGTGCTCACACAATTATTTTAGAGGGATCAGATGGAAACACTTATTTTCGATAGACCAGAGAGATATATTATGTAAACACTTATTTCTGAGAGAACAAAAGGATATATTGTAAACAAAACTATTTGTAGTTTTGACTTTGTGTTCAACAGTACATATCTTGTACTTTTGTGCCTTGTGTTCAATAGTACATATCTTGTACTTTTGTGCCTTGTGTTCAATAGTACATATATTGCACTTTTGTGACCTGTGATCAACAGTACATATCTTGTACTTTTGTGATTTATGTTCAACAGTACATATCTTGTACTTTTGTGCCTTGTGTTCAACAGTACATATCTTGTACTTTTGTGATTTATGTTCAACAGTACATATCTTGTACTTTTGTGCCTTGTGTTCAACAGTACATATCTTGTACTTTTGTGATTTGTGTTCAACAGTACATATCTTGTACTTTTGTGCCTTGTGTTTAACAGTACATAACTTGTACTTTTGTGACCTGTGTTCAACAGTACATATCTTGTACTTTTGTGCCTTGTGTTCAACAGTACATATCTTGTACTTTTGTGATTTGTGTTCAACAGTACATTTCTTGTACTTTTGTGCCTTGTGTTCAACAGTACATATCTTGTACTTTTGTGACCTGTGTTCAACAGTACATATCTTGTACTTTTCTGCCTTGTGTTCAACAGTACATATCTTGTACTTTTGTGACCTGTGTTCAACAGTACATATCTTGTACTTTTGTGCCTTGTGTTCAACAGTACATATCTTGTACTTTTGTGACCTGTGTTCAACAGCACTTATCTTGTACTTTTGTGCCTTGTGTTCAACAGTACATATCTTGTACTTCTGTGAATGTTGATAAATACATTGTATTTGTGTGACCTGTATCTGATAGTATTTAACTTTTACTTCTATGAGTTTTGATAAATATTTGTGTGACCTGTATCTGATAGTATTTAACTTTTACTTCTATGAGTTTTGATAAATATTTGTGTGACCTGTATCTGATAGTATTTAACTTTTACTTCTATGAGTGTTGATAAACACATTGTATTTGTGTGACCTGTATGTGATAGTATTTAACTTTTACTTCTATGAGTGTTGATAAACACATTGTATTTGTGTGACCTGTATCTGATAGTATTTAACTTTTACTTCTATGAATGTTGATAAACACATTGTATTTGTGTGACCTGTATGTGATAGTATTCAACTTTTACTTCTATGAGTTTTGATAAATATTTGTGTGACCTGTATCTGATAGTATTTAACTTTTACTTCTATGAGTGTTGATAAACACATTGTATTTGTGTGACCTGTATCTGATAGTATTTAACTTTTACTTCTATGAATGTTGATAAACACATTGTATTTGTGTGACCTGTATGTGATAGTATTCAACTTTTACTTCTATGAGTTTTGATAAATATTTGTGTGACCTGTATCTGATAGTATTTAACTTTTACTTCTATGAGTGTTGATAAACACATTGTATTTGTGTGACCTGTATCTGATAGTATTTAACTTTTACTTCTATGAATGTTGATAAACACATTGTATTTGTGTGACCTGTATCTGATAGTATTTAACTTTTACTTCTATGAGTTTTGATAAATATTTGTGTGACCTGTATCTGATAGTATTTAACTTTTACTTCTATGAGTGTTGATAAACACATTGTATTTGTGTGACCTGTTCTGATAGTATTTAACTTTTACTTCTATGAGTGTTGATAAATATTTGTGTGACCTGTATCTGATAGTATTTAACTTTTACTTCTATGAGTGTTGATAAAACATTGTATTTGTGTGACCTGTATGTGATAGTATTTAACTTTTACTTCTGTGAGTGTTGATAAACACATTGTATTTGTGTGATTTACCTTGTTTTCCTGCAGGAGATCATCATGCTTTGTTCTGTAGTGTTCTAGTTCTTCAATCCGAGATTTCAGCTCATTCCTCTCTCTTTCCCTAAAAAATAAAAACAATTTGACATAAATAACCATTTCACAAGCCATTTTCTATTTTCCCCTTTGTCTTTAATCAAATGTCACAAGAAGAAGCGATAATGAGGCACAACTATTCGCCTCCATATATTGAAATAGGCGAAGTATGGTGGCCATCTTGAATTTTACAGCCATATCCATGTTGATCTATGTTACAAGTAAAAGAATTATTCTGTGACATGATATCAGTATGACAGCATCGACCACAACCGACACCTGGGTTGCGGAGTTTATGGCTAGTTTGTTAAAACTATACCACTGGTGACTAAGCTGTCTTTATAGAAACATATTTTCAAAATCGAAACCCACTCAGCCCAAATATATATCAACTTAATCAATCATGACGGGAAAGGAATCCGGAATACATACCTAAAGGTTGCCATTTGTTTCCTTACGCTGAAATCTATATAATCAATACATTCCAGAAATTCCATGAAGATAGCTAGACAGGTAAGTCCGTCTTGAATCAATATTCTTGTTTATCCCTCGCGTTACTGAACACTTCAGCAACATCCTCACTGATAATACTGGTGCTTTCTATAAACTGATGACTGAGCTCTTTATCCTATAAAGCACCAGTAAAGCTACATACAGAGAATTTTGTTTTAGTTTCCAACCATATAAAATCTACGAAGCAAGTCTGAAATTGTTTTGTCAAAGTGAAATATTTTCGATGAATTTTAAAAATGTTCAGTTTGCAAAGATTAACGGAAACAATATTTCATTTCACTGAAACAATATCCAGATTGCCAACAGCCTCACTCTATCAGTTGATCCTTTCCTTTGGTGACATCACAATTATGACGTCATGAAGCAATGATGTCACATTGGAAACCTCAGCTAATATCACAACTCTAGGCTATATTACACTCACGTGATAATATTATAACAAGACGTATGTAATGGGTGCTATTACAAATAAAGTTATTTTATGAATGGAATTAAACTTCCTTTACGTTATCACTTAGCATTCAATTATGTATCTTTGGGCCTGTCACACAAGCCCTAATTTAGGCGATACAGTCTATGTAATTTACGATATGGGTTTGCTGTTTACTAAGGTAGCATATTGCTGATTGTTAACTTGCTGTTTGAGATTTAAAGTAAATGCTTTAAATTGTAACAGATACAAGGGATGTGCAAGATGATGAAGGGTGAAGAAAAAAAGTATATGATATGTTTATACTCAGCTATAACCAGACAGCTTATATGAACTGTTTATACCCAGCTATAACCAGACAGTTAATACCCTGTTATAACCAGACAGCTTATACCCAGCTATATCCAGACAGTTTATACCCAGCTATAACCAGGAAACTTATATGACCTGTTTATACTCAGCTATAACCACACAGTTTATACCCAGCTATAACCAGGCAACTTATATGACCTGTTTATACTCAGCTATAACCAGACAGTTTATACCCAGCTATAACCAGACAGTCTATACCCAGCTATACAGACAGTTTATACCCAGCTATAACCAGACAGATTATACTCAGCTATAACTAGACAGTTTATACCCAGCTATAACCAGACAGTTTATACCCAGCAATATCCAGACAGCTTATACCTAGCTATAACCAGACAGTATATACCCAGCTATAACCAGACAGTATATACCCAGCTATAACCAGACAGTTTATACCCAGCTATAACCAGGCAGTTTATACCCAGCTATAACCAGGCAGTTTATACCCAGCTATAACCAGACAGTCTATACCCAGCTATAACAAGACAGTTTATACCCAGCTAGAACCAGGCAGTTTATACCCAGCTATAACCAGACAGTTTATACCCAGCTAGAACCAGACAGTTTATACCCAGCTATAACCAGACAGTTTATACCCAGCTATAACCAGACAGTATATACCCAGCTATAACCAGACAGTTTATACCCAGCTATAACCAGACAGTTTATACCCAGCTATAACCAGACAGTTTATACCCAGCTATAACCAGACAGTTTATACTCAGCTATAACCAGACAGTTTATACCCAGCTAGAACCAGACAGTTTATACCCAGCTATAACCAGGCAGTTTATACTCAGCTATAACCAGACTTTTTACAAGATTGTACAACTGTATATGTATTGATGAACGTTTCCAGCTGACCTTCAATATATATATATATATAGGTGTGTGTGTTAATGAACATAGCTCACACACTTACAACCTAAACGTGTGTTTGTAAACGTTCAACAAAGACTTGCAACACATGTGTGTATTCACAAACTGTCCACACATGCTTACGTTACAACCTGTGTAAAGAATGATACATATTCCGTCCTTGTCGATTCGAGTCCTCGAGTTCGGGAATGGTAAAGGGTTCAAGGGTTCATTCTCGAGTAAATAGCAGGGAATAGATTTTCCTCTTGAGTAAGTGAACGATTGAGATATTTCTTCTCGAGGTCGGGAATTGTAAAGATTGCTCTCGGCCAGTTAAGATAGGATAGACATTTCTCTCCTCAAACAACGGGATTATCTTTTTTCTGACCCGTTCTTTTTCATGATACGAGATAAATATGAAAACTGATAAGACACAAGTATGACCCAGTTTGCATCAGAATTGCTAAATGGCTTACCGCTCATCCTCTCTCTTGTGCTGAAGAGCTTTCTTGGCAACCGTAGCAAAACTCAGTCTCCTTTTTGTTAAAACATCTGACTGAGGTATGGAGACTTTAGGGAAACTTTCACGACGCTGCAGGCTTCTCTCCATAACGATCAAAAGACCTTAAGCTTTAAGCTCCAACTGCGAAATAACTGTTGTACACCCATCATCAATTGTGTATGTAAAGTCCATTTTCAACGTCGCCATAGCTTTTTGTGTTTTTATAGCGAAAACGTAGTATCAGCTATTTCTAATCCACTCATATAAAGCAGCACATCCCTTACCAGAACATCATACTAAAATCAATTTCACAGCAATCTATACTGCTTACAATATTCAGGTTGTACACCTGGAAGTTATCCAACCGTTAGAATTTAAAATCCATAGAAGATTACAAACACGTATAAACACCGGGCATTTCCAATTAAAGCGATTTAAGAAATCTTAAATATTTATGTCACTGAACTTGTAGCTGATCATCACGTGAAACGTTAACTAACGTTTCCACACAGATCAACTTGTAGAAATGATGTCCTGCCCTCATTGTTACATATCAACCAGATGTCACTTCAACATGAGAAAGTGAGAAATTTTCAAAGTTTGATATTTGCGGTATATATAGCATTATCAACTCATTGTAAAATATCGGTGCGTGTGTCTCGCATTTAAATTCAATGTTGTGTTAAATTCAATCATAGGCTTACTGTATTAACAACTTCTTTACTAGGTGATATTACTGGGAGGTAAGGGGGTTGTTTTTCACTTCTCCTTGGCAGATAAATTATCATAAGTCATCATTTTGCAGATAAAAAATGTAAATTTTTCGTGGTCTTTTCATGAATAATCAATATGAGAAGACAAGAGATTTTGGAGATGTGAGCTAACCATGCGTGTGTGAAGTATGTACCTCAGACACATATATATTTACATACTGGTAATGTCGAAAGTACTCTCTTCACAACTTAGAAATGTTCTTTAATCCAACTTAAAAGGTTACTGTGTACATAGAATGTCATTCTGATTCACGTCCATATTGGGTTTGTGACTTGCATGACAAATTGTTTACAACGATCTCTTACCAAATTTACAATAACACATACATCATATCAAATTTACCTATCTTAGTGTACATATCACACACATCTATTTACAAGGTCCCTCCTGAGTTGGAGTTAAACAGCTCCACCCTGAGTGGCCTGTTATTTTCAAATTCTGTGTGCATGACTTCTACCATGAAAACTTGTACATGTATAAAATACATTAGCAACTTAAACGTTCCTCATGAGTAAACTGCTTTGAAATTTGTAGAGAGCCCGAGTGAAAACGCAAATATCTGGATGGAGATTTGAACTTAATCTGATTAGTTTTTGTGAAGATGTATGTCCCTCTGTAAACACCGACACATACATGACAAGAGGCATATCAATGACGCTTGTCCAATGCCGAACTGAAATATCCTTTTATAGAGATGAATACAAACATGGCAATATCGACTCTAAACGAGAGGGAATATATAAAGTAGACAGTTTACAGGTATATGGTTATAAATCCAAGTCAAATGGGTTAAATAACAAAATGGTAATCCTTTCTATAGAAATGATATCTAAAAAATTATAAAATGGTGATTATTGCCAATTAAGAAAGAGACCGATTTTCATCTATATTTAGAAATGAATATCAGGTCCCTACAGTCCTATAATTACATCTATATATAGAAATGAATATCAGACCACTACAGTCAACTAATTACATCTATATATAGAAATGAATATCAGGCCCCTACAGTCCTATAATTACATCTATATATAGAAATGAATATCAGGCCCCTACAGTCCTATAATTACATCTATATATAGAAATGAATATCAGGCACCTACAGTTACATCTATATATAGAAATATATATCAGGTCCCTACAGTATAATTACATCTATATATAGAAATGAATATCAGGCCCCTACAGTCCTATTAATATATAGAAATAAATATCAGGCACCTATATATAGAAATATATAGAAATAAATATCAGGCACCTACAGTCAACTAATTACGTCTATATATAGAAATGAATATCAGGCCCCTACAGTCATATAATTACATCTATATATAGAAATATATACCAGGTCCCTATAGTCCTATAATTACATCTATATATAGAAATACATATCAGGTCCCTACAGTCCTATAATTGCATCTATATATAGAAATGAATATCAGGCCCCTACAGTCATATAATTACATCTATATATAGAAATGAATATCAGGCCCCTACAGTCCTATAATTACATCTATATATAGAAATATATACCAGGTCCCTACAGTCCTATAATTACATCTATATATAGAAATGAATATCAGGCCCCTACAGTCCTATAATATAGAAATGAATATCAGGCCCCTACAGTCAACTAATTACATCTATATATAGAAATGAATATCAGGCCCCTACAGTCAACTAATTACATCTATATATAGAAATGAATATCAGGCCCCTACAGTCAACTAATTACATCTATATATAGAAATGAATATCAGGCCCCTACAGTCCTATAATTACATCTATATATAGAAATAAATATCAGGCCCCTACAGTCACATAATTACATCTATATATAGAAATAAATATCAGGCCCCTACAGTCACATAATTACATCTATATATAGAAATAAATATCAGGCCCCTACAGTCATATAATTACATCTATATATAGAAATGAATATCAGGCCCCTACAGTCATATAATTACATCTATATTTAGAAATGAATATCAGACCCCTACAGTCAACTAATTACATCTATATATAGAAATGAATATCAGGCCCCTACAGTCATATAATTACATCTATATATAGAAATGAATATCAGGCCCCTACAGTCATATAATTACATCTATATATAGAAATGAATATCAGGCCCCTACAGTCATATAATTACATCTATATATAGAAATGAATATCAGGCCCCTACAGTCATATAATTACATCTATATATAGAAATAAATATCAGGCCCCTACAGTCAACTAATTACATCTATATATAGAAATGAATATCAGGCCCCTACAGTCATATAATTACATCTATATATAGAAATGAATATCAGGCCCCTACAGTCCTATAATTACATCTATATATTGAATTATTGGAAAGGTTAATGAGAATCTAGTACATTCAATTCCGACCTAAAATGATGTGTAGTTTTTCAGATCGAAGTCAAGATTTTACATTTTATTTGTACCTATCCTTTTTAAATGTTTGAACATTTGCTAATTATCTCTATCAAATTGTAGATATATACACCACCACTTTGTGATACAGATACCATAATGATTATAGACACCTGAAAAACACATTAAAGGCTATTCCGAACACATGTAGGTTTAAACAGATAAATACTTACACCTACATACGTATATATATATATATATTTAGTGCCTTCGCTCATAAACAGAAAACTAAATATTGATCCAAAACCAATAGTCACACAATAAATTACTGAATAATACTTTGTCAATTATGTCCTTTGTGTTAACGTAATTATAGTAAGTGGTAGGATTTGAATCAAATTACAAATCACAGATATGTTCGATCCAGAGTACGCATTAAGTTATTTCTAGCTGATGATTAATCACCAATGATTAACGTTACATGAAATCATGCTTGACAAGAAAACCATTAAAATGAGAGAGAGAAAAAAAAACCCAAAACAACAACATAACAACACAGGAATGCCTAAGTGTACTGAGAATATCTATATAGCTATATAAGTGTTGTTTTATATAGGTAAAAGTATCACTCTAGGATCTTATGGGGATTTTACCTGTGCGGGAATCACTATAGACTGATAAGACTACTGAGAGAAAAATATTCTTAATTAAAAGTAATGTATCACTGTTGGTATATACAGTAAACACATATACCGTAGATTTTAAATAACGACTTTATATATACTGATATATATAGTAGATTTCAATATAACGACTCTACACATACTGATATATATATATATTAGATCTCAATATAACGACTCTATACACACTGATATATATAGTAGATTTCAATATAACGACTCTACACATACTGATATATATATATAGTAGACTTCAATATAACGACTCTATACACACTGATATATATAGTAGACTTCAATATAACGACTCTATACACACTGATATATATAGTAGACTTTAATATAACGACTATACATACTGATATATATAGTAGACTTCAATATAACGACTCTATACACACTGATATATATAGTAGACTTCAATATAACGACTCTATATATATATATAGTAGACTTCAATATAACGGCTCTATACATACTGATATATATAGTAGACTTCAATATAACGGCTTTATATATACTGATATATATAGTAGACTTCAATATAACGGCTTTATATATACTGATATATATAGTAGATTTCAATATAACGGCTTTATATATACTGATATATATAGTAGACTTCAATATAACGGCTTTATATATACTGATATATATAGTAGATTTCAATATAACGACTCTATACACACTATATATATAGTAGACTTCAATATAACGGCTTTATATATACTGATATATATAGTAGACTTCAATATAACGGCTTTATATATACTGATATATATAGTAGACTTCAATATAACGGCTTTATATATACTGATATATATAGTAGATTTCAATATAACGGCTTTATATATACTGATATATATAGTAGACTTCAATATAACGGCTCTATACACACTGATATATATAGTAGACTTCAATATAACGACTCTATACATACTGTTATATATAGTAGACTTCAATATAACGACTCTATATATACTGATATATATATTAGATCTCAATATTACGACTCTATACACACTGATATATAGAGTAGACCCCCATCAATCTACTGAAGTGCTATAGGCACCCAAAGACATCTATCGGTGTACTATCACAAATATAATCCCCGAAAGGGATGCTTATCAATGTATGTTAATATCATGATTCTAATGATTAAATTGCTATTTAATATCATGTAATTAATACTGTTACTGATACGGTCAACATCAGATAAAACTGTAAACCAGTTAAAACGAGCATCACATCAGCTTGGTCACT